TTTGGGTTTTTTTTAATTATAATGTAAAACCAGTACTATTGTATGGGGTGGAAACATGGAGAACAACCAAGGCAATTACTAATAAATTACAGACATTCATTAACTGGTGCCTGAGCAGAATAGAGGGAATAAAATGGTATGATAGAATTACTAATGTAGAACTTTGGGAGAGAACTAAACTGGCTCCAGTGGACCAGGAGGTGAGGAATAGACGCTGCCGTTGGATAGGACATACACTGAGAAAACAGGAGAACAGCATAACTAGAATGTCTTTGCAATGGAACCCACAGGGGCATAGGAATAAGGAAGGCTAAAAATCACATGGAGAAGAGAGCTGGAGAATGAGGTTAGAAAGATTGGGAGGACATGGGAAAAGCTCCATGCAATGGCAAAGGATAGAACAACTTGGCGTGAGTTGGTTTAGGGCCTATGCTCCACTGGGGGATGGAAAGGCAGAAGATGAAGAAGAAACCCAGGTGGAAAGTTCTGATTTTGTTTTGGTCCTCTTCTGGGCTTTGGTCTTTCCCCAGAATTTTGAGTTTCGCTCACACATCTGTAGTTCATAGTTCTGGTTTATCTGTATGTAAACTGTTGGCTCCTCACCTCTCAGGCAGACGCACTCAGACTTCTAAGTAAACACCCCTTATCAGTTAGTTAGTTAGTTAGGTGCGATACGATCATTGCACTCCGGAGATGTCCACATGTGTTTAGATCCTTCCCTCAATATGAACCCCAGCGTCCTGTGACTAATAGTCAGTTATTTGTTGACTAATAAGTCTTTCTGTATGTCAGGTATGTCTCTTGCTTTTGGGGCTATGCCAATCTTCTAAGCTGTCTTTTATGACATGCTTGTTAAGGGAGCAGTGGATCTGCTTACCCCCCCCCCCCCCCACCCCTCCCATTGGGGCTCTGGAACTCACATGGAGAAAAATATATTTGACAGGGATTTAAAAAAAACATGACCAAAATCATGGGTGTGCTAGTGAAGTGTCTGTTGAAATGTCATGCACTGTAAAACTGCAGAATGACTAGAGTAGTTTTGAAATTTTACCAAGAACTTGCCCATGCTCGAGTGAAATGATGCAGATAATTCAACAGGCTTCTGCCAATGGAATATCATACAGATAAAGGAGTGCTACAATTTCTGTGGCACAATGGTAGTGAATTACAGACAGTGGACACTTAGTGAAAAATTATTTGGAAGTGGTTTTAATGACCAATGATGAGAATATCCTAGAGTGAAGAAGATGTCTTGAAATAAAGTGCCTCATGAAGACTAATGACTGACCACATCAGAAGGAGAGAGTCCACATTCTTTGGACAAGTCATCAAAGGGGGGAAAACGAGTACATCGTGACAGTGGAAAAGCTAGAAGGGAAGAGAGGCAGACGGAGACCAAGACAGAATATGCTGGACAGTTTGACATCAAGGCTTGGAAGATCATCTGTGTCAGAATAGACTGAAAGTATACAAGAACGAAGGTTGTGGATTCAGCCTTAACAGAGGTTATAATTAGGGCATACAAATGGTTACACTAGCCTGGTATAACCTGCAGTACTATGAGGGTAAAGACACCGTGGCACTGGAATACTTTTAACTTATACACTAAATGTTCAGCCTGAAAGTGAACGTACCCAAGATTTCCTGTACTGACTATTCCCTTCTTCGATATCTTTTTGCTGAGGTGCTGTACCCAGGTTTTCTGCTTCTCAGTGGACTCTGCTAGAAGTAACAGCTCTTTTGCTTGGATACTTGAATCATAGGTAACTGAAAGTGAATAAAAGGATAAGATTTAACCACATCCATGTTGATAAACAGATGGGCCAAAATTTAAAAAAAGCAACAACAACAAAAAATATGGCAAAGATTTGTCTAATGTCTTGTACACAAACAAGATATCTTCTTTTTTTTTCCCGTTCACCAGCTGTAACATCAAGCGAAAAGTTCTGGTTGTTCATCCACTTCTGGACAGTAGTACAGTTCCAGAACCGTTATGTGCACATCCATTTGACAGATCTGACTCATCTGTATGCTGATTGTTGGTTCCTTGCCTCTCAGGCAGATGCACTCTTCTAAGGAATCTCCCAATAAGTTGATTCTTAGACATACTTTTGAATGGGCCATGGGCATATTCTTGTTATTCTCCACAACGGGACCTCGGAAAGCCCCGGGGGGGGGGGGGGGGGGGGGGGGGGGGGGGGGGGGGGACAAGATATGATACAGATTGGACTAATAGATTGTACACAAATACAGATTGTCTAATAGATTGTACACAATGGGGGGGGGGGGGGGGGGACGACAAGATATGATACAGATTGGACTAATAGATTGTACACAAATGAAAAATAGCACTTGACTAATATACTGTACACAAACAGGAAAAAACACAGATATGTTTAATATCTTCAGTATTATTGCACAAACAAGAAACAGAATAGATTTTAAACTGTAACTTCAAACAATAAATCATGCAGAAAATGAATATTTTAAATTATCTATTCTCCTCTCCTTCCCCACCCACACTTATACAAACTCATGTATCAGGTCATTACATAATGCTATTCTTTCCTCAGAGTGAAACAGAGTGAATGTACTCACCTTTACAATAAGCAATGAATTCTTCATTTTTGTCATAGTGATCACGATGAACTTTGACATGGCAACCTGAAAGTACATCAATATCGGGGAAATGGCTTTAAGACAGGGAAAACCACTGTAGATGCTTAACTAAAAAAAAAAATAATACTGACAATCAAGTGACAAGACAGGGTCTCGGACACTGTGATATTGGATACAGCTGACGTTCCCAGCATCGATACCATCCTGGTGCAGTCACAGATTAGATGGGCAGGTCATGTTGTCTGCTTGCCAGAGCACTGGCTTCCAAAAATAATCTTGTATAGTGAGATACAGGAAGGTAGGCGTTCTCATGGTGGCCAGAAAAAAATGCTTCTAGGACTCGCTAAAGGCATCATTTAAAGCCTTTAGACCCTGCCCCTTGGTAGGCTGCTGCACAAGACTGGACTACATGGACAACGTCTATCTGAAGAGGGGCAGTGACCTGTGAGGCTTCAAGAAAAAGGGCAGCTGAACAGCACCAACAATGCCTCTTCATCACGCAATTTAACACTATCGTCTGGAAAGACAGAAAGGTGCCAATGAGTGAATTGAGGATTCCCATTCATTGCATTCATCCATAAAAGCTTTAATCTTCTCCCGTTGACCAGGGGCTCATATCAATTGTGTTTTTTTTTAAAACTCCCATCTAGATGAAAATCTGAATGCATGACCATCAAATCAAACTTAGATTAATGTGTTAGCCACTACACTTGTGAGGCTCCCAGATAATATAGGACTAGAATTTTTAAAACAGTTAATGGCAAAGAGGTGAATCAGCATCATGTAGCAGGTCCTTTGAAGAATGTCACTCTCATCATGGTCTGCCTGAAAGAAACTCGGTCTCTCGCCAGCTCTCCAGCCTCATGTACTTTCATACTCAAGGAATCTCTTATTTCATGTGCCCATCTTCGTGCTGGTTGGCTTCTGCCCCTCCTTCCTGGTATCATGCCTTCTGCTATAACTTATTCCAGTCCATCATGGCGCTTGGTATAACCAAAATATTTCAGCTTCCGAGACAGGATACTGTTTATTAGCCAATAGCCAATTTTCCTTGATGTTCAGATCTTTCAAGATGTCAGTATTTCTCCTCTTCTTTGTACAAGATATTCTGAAAATCTTTTTATAGCATTAGTCCACGACTCACATCCATATGTTGCTACAGGGAAGATGCATGCTCTCAAAATTTTAATTTTGATCTTCTTGCTGGTGCTCAACCATAGACTTTAGGCTGTTCAATCTTTGCATTGCTATGGTCATCGTCTTTTTGATTTCTGTCAGTCTCCATTGTTATTTATTATAGAGTCTAGATATTCAAAGTTTGTGACTTTTCAATTTCTTCATCATTCATTGTTATTTCTGGGTGACAGCCAGTTTTATCTGTAGACATTATTTTCATTTTCTTTAAATTCAAGAACAGATTTTGATCTTCACTATGCTTCTGGACAGACAATATTAAATTTTATATTCTTTTTTACGCTGTTCGAAAGGAGGACTGTGTCATCTGCGTAGCGGAGTTCCGGAATAGGGTTGCCACCAATTTTGAGCGTATCATGTCACAAGTATGGTCATTTTTGACATTTCTCATTATATATTCTGCATATATATTGAATAGGTATGGTGAGAGAATGCAACCCTGCCTCACTCCCTTTTACACCTCAAACCAATCCGATGTTTCACCAGCTGCTCAGATGGCTGTTTGTTGTTCATGATAAAGATTTTCAATTAAATGCACCAAATGCGCTGGAAACCCAATCCTTCTCATAATAGTCCACAGTTTCTTATGTTGGACACAATCAAATGCCTTGCTATAATCAATAAAACAAGCATGAAGATCTACGCAGTATTCTCTACATTTTTCAAAAATTATTCTCACATTAAAGATGTGATCCCTAGTTCCTCTACCCTGTCTGAAACCCGCTTGTGCTTCATGTAGCATATATTGTAATTTCCTTTTAATCCTCTTCATGATAATTTGTGAGAGGATTTTGCTGGCATGACTTATTAATGCGATGGTAAGGTAAAAAAAAAGAAAGAGGTGAAGCATCATTGCAAATGTAGATAATAATGTAGTAATATTACAACAAAAGCACTGCATCAGGGGTTGGGGTTGTGTGTGTGCATGCTTCTGTTTTTTTTTCCCCCAAAATAGTCCATGCTGTGTGGCTTTAGTAGTTATGTCTGTCCACATCTTGTGTCTTATGTACTTTCAATCATTTCTGACACAGATATTCATCCCTCCATGTCATGACGCCTAAATCTTTATTACTTTCTTATCTTGATTTCTCGCTTTTCTCTGTGAGGTATTGAAAACAAAAACAAAAACACCACAAAATAGGTCAGGTATATACTGTGAGAAACAACAAGAGACATGAAAGACTTACGCTTGCATTCCAGTGCAGGAGGAGGATGAATGACGTGCCATACAGGCTTGTGGCAGGAGTCACATGATGTCGGCGTACGAAAGGTGAATGGTGTGAAGTCATGACCTTTGTAAATTATTGAAGCAGTACGATCAACAGCAGAACTAACGGCTTCCTGTGCTCCATCCTCCGGTTTGCGATTTTCTCCCTCACTGGCATAAAGAATCTGAATTGCGACAGGAGACGGAAGTCTCAATAATAACATGTAATTCAAGTTTGCAGCATGTTACAAAATAAAGAATATTCTATGCAATCTTTCTTTGTCAACTGAGACCAGAAAAAGAATTCTCAAAAACTATATAAATTTTATACTGATATACAGAAGTAAATCATGGCGGAAAATTATTTGGAAGTGGTGGAGATGTGGCTTTATTGTTTGTTGTTTTAAACTGACCATGAAGAGAACTGACTGCCTGCATCAGGAGGAGACAATCTACATAGAACAGATTGCCTGTCAGGAGGAGACAATCTACATAGAACTGATTGCCTGCATCAGGAGGAGACAATCTACATAGAACAGATTGCCTGCATCAGGAGGAGACAATCTACAAAGAACTGATTGCCTGCATCAGGAGAAGACAATCTACAAAGAACAGATTGCCTGCATCAGGAGGAGACAATCTACAAAGAACTGATTGCCTGCATCAGGAGGAGACAATCTACAAAGAACAGATTGCCTGCATTAGGAGGAGACAATCTACAAAGAACAGATTGCCTGCATCAGGAGGAGACAATCTACAATGAACAGATTGCCTGCATTAGGAGGAGACAATCTACAAAGAACAGATTGCCTGCATCAGGAGGAGACAATCTACAAAGAACTGATTGCCTGCATTAGGAGGAGACAATCTACATAGAACAGATTGCCTGCATCAGGAGGAGACAATCTACATAGAACTGATTGCCTCAATCAGGAGGAGACAATCTATGTACTTTAGTCACGACATGAGAAGGAGAAAATGAGTTACATCATGTGGCGGGAGGAAAGAGACAGAGGGGGAAAGAGACAGAGGGGGAAAGAGACAGAGGGTGACAGAGAGATGCTGGACAGTTTGACATCATGGCATGGAAGCTTATTTGTGTCAGAAGTACAGGACTACCAATGCCACACAGCATGGACCATAAGATGAATACATGTTCAAGTCAGAGCCGCTGTAGCCTAGTAGTTAAGGCCGAATGTCTTCAGTACAAACCCTCACAATCTCAGTGTGGGTTCTAGGGTCAAATCTTGAAGCTCAGTCACGCAAAGTAAATGCATAAGTCAGCCGTGAGATGTGCCAACACTAACAGACTCCTACCAGAGCTGCAGCCAACTGTTGCTGATGCAAACAGTCAATAACAACAGCTGGCATTAGCATACAAAATACTGCATAAATACATAATATTCTGAATGTAATCGGTCGCCCGCCATACTTAGCGCATCATAAAATCTACAGCTCACAGAGTCACACTAAGCACTCAACTCAGAAGCTGGGCTATAGAACCTTCATGCTGTATGTAAAACACCTTCAGACATGACAATTATACCTTTACAAGCACACATCTGCAGGACTCCGACCAGGGGTCAAATTCATTTGTGCTCAACTATGAGATTGCCCTCAAACATGTATACTTCTTCTGCATTCGCCCTAAAAGGGCAGCTGGCACAGTATGATGTGGTTTACAGCTAGGCTGCAGTATCTGCATCTTTCAGCCGAACACATTCAATTTTCTGCACACTTATAATTATTCGGCTTTTACAACATGCTTTTTGGAGCAGCAGATTTTCCCCCTCTGCCAAGGGTTCTGGAATACTCACAGAAAACACATGTATATTATAAGATGTTACTCCCATGTTTGACAAACATAACTAAATAAAGAATATAGGAACTGGTGATGCATAAATTTAGTTACCTGAAATATCCTAGGAATATCTTTAGCATCAGCTCTGTACACATCTCCTTGTGAAACTGGACGTACATGAAAGAGTTTGCTGAAAAATACAACAAATTCTTGACATTAATTTACGACCAGCGCCATCACTGGTAATGCTGTGTTAGTCCAGGTTCGAAAAACTACAGAAAAAAATGAAGCACCTACTGGACCAATATATAATCGATTAAATTAGGGTTCTCGATTTCTTGGAGAAAGTCAAGGCAACTGGTTACAACTGCACAGGTCTTCATGTGCAGTTTGGTCACCTAACAACACACGTGTTTATACCCCTGAACTCTTGACATCACTAGAAATTGCCTGGTGTATGATGGGTTTCCTACTATGGTTCTTATCCGAAGCATGTTTTTTTTTTTACTCTGACTAGTTTTGGCTGTAGACACTTCCACTGTGTGCATGTGTGTGCGCATGCATATGCATGCATGCATGAGTGGGAGTGTGTGTGTGCATCTGTGAAGTCGCACACATGCTTGTGCATACGCATGCGTGCATGTATGTGTGTGTGCACGTGTGCTTACAGGTGTGTGTCTGTGAAGGTGCACCCATGTGCGCACATGTGTTTTTAAATTTTAAATTTTTATTTTGAAAATTGTCACTTAAGTCTGCAAGTCCGGGTGTTTGGGGCATAACTAGAGCTACACCGTTTTGTGTGACGTTCTCAACCAGCTACACACCACTCTACCAACACAGAAAGTGAAAACATAGGGAAATGAAGCTGCTGACTTTTAAAACACCTTTACTAGCTACCTTTTCTTAAAGTTCAATGGTCAAACCCTAATGTTTAAAATAAATTTAAAAAAAAACAGTATTTGACCTATCAAAAATGATCAAATATATTGTGTGTTTGTGACTGTGTGAACAGATGATAGAAAAACATAGATCCAATGGTTTGGACATTCATCAAGACTACCCCAGCCAGCCGTCACTTAGACACGAAGGAGCAAAGGTAGAGGTAGACCTCACAAGTGAGCGTTGATGGAATATCCAAGGCTGTAAATAAACACCAGCATCTTAGCACATTGTCATGGGTTCAGATCTTGATGGAGCCAGAATTCTGTTTTGGCTTTTTGGTTTGTTTTAAGAAACAAACTTGGCTCCCAGGCCAATTCAGCTTTAAAGTGGTACTGGGAAAAGTCCTGGGAAGCAAAAGTGGCTGGTGTGATACTGATCACATCACCCACCAAGTGCTGATTGGTCTACAAATTAAAAGACTATCCTTATATCCCCAATAGAACCTGAAGGCATGGAAAAGGGTCCTTTACTTTACATAGCACATACCTAGGCTCGCACTCGATGCCTCTCACAAAAACATACTGAAAGGCAGTACAGGACTCGAAGAGGAGGAGAAGAAAAGGTCGGCTTTCTTAGTTTTCTGCTTTAAAAAAATAATAAGACTATGCCACTGATACACTAACAGCAAAGATAAGTTTGTTTCTTTTCTTTCATCATTCTTGTTTTAAGATAACATTTTCATCTCCAGCTGAAAATAGAAAACATGCATGTACACAGGTGACAGTTAAAAAAAAAAAAAAAAATCATACACATGTGACAGTCACAAGCAGCAACTTACTCTATGTCCAGCACCATGATAGGGTCTGTGTTCTGCTTTTCATTTTCAGAGGCATAGAAGAGAACCTTCCTGCTGCTGACAACCACAAACTGCTTCTTCCAGCCGTACTTTTTAATGTTGTTGCGATTCGGAACTGCCAGCCAACCTTCCATGTACGTGTCTGAGGGCACTAGAGTTATAAACAATATTGTCTATCAAAATTCGATTTTGTAAATAATTGGAAAACATAGTGCTTCATGCAACTGTAAGTAGAAAATACTGCAGCTGTGTTGGAACTGGTAAAATGACTAAAATTCTGCTGCAAGAGTGTCCAACATATGCAGAACCGAGGATGTGCATATACCTGTTGAGATCAAACTCTAATGAAGATATCAAAGTCTCAAACTGACTACCACTTTCTTTCAATTAAATGACGAGCAGCAGCTGATTAAACAGTTAATAATACTGGGTTTTCATGTGGGAAACCCAGGTTTAAATCCTCTGTAAGGTTAAGGTGTTTTTCTGTCAGAAAAGTGGTAATTACAGGCTGTAATGGGACTTTTTCACTTTAAGTACCTGGATGGTTTAGCTACATGGCATACAGGGACAAGAAGGCAAACTGGATCTCTTGATCTAGTGAGATGGCAAACCATAACCACCTGCATCTATCAGCATGGCACATAATAGTATAAAGTAAAGATGCCTTTTCAGAACTTTGTACGCATCTGGCCTACGGGAAGAGCACCCATATTTTTACAAATCAATCGGCACTAGGTGGGTAATGTGGTCAGCATTACGCTGGCCGTCTTGACTTCCCCGGGACATAAATCCTGGTACCCATTTTAGGCTGGGCTCCATACCATGATGGCACATAATGATTTCTTTAAAACTATTCATGATATTTGACTCAGACATGAATACAGGTGTTAACAGTGTTGAAAGAATTAGCATATGTTGCACAAGAAACTGTAGCTACAGCCCAATGCTATCATCAGTATCAGTAAACTGTCTCAGTATCTTTGGTTAAGCATCACTGTCATTGTGTTGGAATCTTTACAAGTGCTCTGGTCTCCTCTCAAAGATTACGCAGGGAGAATTTCAGTACGGCGAACAACTCTTTAGCATCGATATGTGCATGGCTTTTAATGTATAACAGCAAGGAGCTGACTAAACTCAACTCTCATAAATCTATAACATATATTCCTACATATGAAGAGAAGATAATGCCGATACTCAGGGCTTCTTTTCTAGAAAAAAAAAGGGCCAGTACTCACCACAAAGGGAGTAGCTATGGTGTAGCAGCCAGAGGCTTGCATGCGGATCTGAAGGTCGTGTTCTGACATTTTCGCCCCCCCCCCCCCCCCTTTTTTTTTTTTATGGCATTGGCTCTCAGGTCGACCCAGCCTTGAGGGGCCACCAGGTGTAGCCCTGGGAGGATGGTATGATGTTGACATCTCCCACTCATTGCTGATTGGTATATAAAATACAGGTCAAGCCCTTATTTCCCTCCACATCAAACAGTTTTTTAATTACAACATTTAGTCAGAAGATACTAAAGAAACCTGGCGTCCCCATTGGTAATTACCATTGTATATATTGCCACTTTCAAAGTAATACTTTAATGATTTTTATCATTGTCATTTCTTCGCTTTGGCACCTCCAGTGAAACCTTCAGTTATCAAAAAAGTTAAATCATTCAACGCTGTCATGTAGATCAACAAGAACTGATACGATACACAAAGACATATTTCCACAATTCCATACTTGCAGAATCTTCTGAGCTACTGACAATGCTGTCTTCATTGTTGCCACTGTATATTGACATGGAGTCGGAGGTGCTTAAAGACAACTTCTGTCTCAGCTGCTCCATTTCCGAGTCCTTGGCATCGATCTCCATCTGTAACCTCTGTCGGGCTTGGCTTTCTTCGTATACAGACTGCTGGGCTTCCAGAACATCCCGCTGCATCTTCTCAATCATTTTGTTGTACTTCTCCCTCTCCTGCATCAGATATAATTAAAGAAATGTTAGAACAAATGTCAACAGTCACACATGATCTCAGTTACCTCTTTCAGCCCCTGAATGTTAAATTGAGAACAACACAGCACTGGGGACACTCCCATAAGTGCTCAGCTCTTATCTTCAGAAGCAAGCAAAGAGTTCCAATTCCGATGGTACAAGTAACCATCTGACTGGATATCCGTCTCATCCTTCCCTTTAGTGTTAAACGTTGGCCAGATCCCCTGGTACACACTGTTAACTCGCTCCTGAAGGGCCCACACAGTATCTAACTTGTCATACATCAATTCACCACCAAGTAGTACAGAGCCAGCCAGTCTATCTGCATGCTCATTTCCCAAAAAATCGGCATGAGCTGTTAATAAAATATTTTCTCACCTGAAGAAAAAAACTGTTCCATATAAAACACGCTATTTGAATACTGGGGACACTTAGGGAAGTAAGCTCTTATTTATTATTCACATAAAAGACAAACAGGATATGATGCAACTGGAAAGATTAATATAGAGAGATACAGGGAAGACAATAAGAAAATCCTTTTATCGTAGTAAGGAAAGGTGTTAGCATACAAATACGTTATGGAGAAGATGTAGATAAGAATACTGTTACAGTAGAAATATATAGACATGTAGCTGACAGCTGATGTTCCGTGACAGTTTAGACACCAGAGAGGCAAAATATAGAGTGAAATAGACTGCATATGCTATCTACCATACAACAGCATATTACTTTTATTTGGTTATTGAAGTTCTCCGTTGTGAGAGGTGGTAACAGAACAAAGTAGGGGATTGCTAGGATTGGGCGAAGTATGGTGTGGCCTTGTGCCACGGGTTTGCTACGGTAACAACTCAGTCACCCCGAAATGTCCTGGCCAATGGGGCTCTGGTGAAGTTAAAACAGGTCCAGCAAGCCAGCAATGAATTTACCACCGCAACAACAAATACAATGAGATATAACTGGACTGATCAAACAGCATTTGACAAGCACCAAGCAGGACCTTATATCTGCCTCGACACCTGAAGCGGTGAAAGAGGACGTAAAGAAGAAGAAGACGGTTACCGGACTAGGCGATCATATTGTTAGAAAAAGGAAGAAACAACTGTACAGTCTCTCCATAGTCTTTTGAATATCGTGAAAGGAAGGTTGTGACCTTCAGGCTGCTTAGGTTGGGAGGCTAGTGGGTTAGTTATGTTTGCCTGCTTAAATACAGAGCACTTCATATTGGCCAGGCCTAGGAGGACTGGAGACAATCAAAAGTAGAGATAATAAACTAAAGATGGTGACTGAGGCCAGTTGTTATTTCTATTCACTCTGTTGAGTGAAGCTGTTTCATTAGTCGTGCCGAGCCATGTTTATGATATGTTGAAACCCTAGATGAAGAAGGAAATGACATTAGCTCTACCATACATACTTTGATGCACTTGATGATGATGATGACGCTCTAAGCAGTATGGGGCAATACAACATTAGAGCCAGATAAACTACGACTGTTTACTGACCATTGTGAGTTCTTGCTGAAGCTTTCTGTTTTCTTTCTCTTTGCGTTTCAATTCAGCTTCGGCGGATTTATTCTTGCCTCCATGTCGATCAGCAAACACCCTTTTGTTCATGATCTCTGCCAGCTTGTTCACAGCCTGAGGAAACAAACAGTCTTTGCTGAGAACACCTATTTCCAAAAATTATTCTATATTACTGTAAAAGTATAAACAAAACAGTTGCATTTTAAACAACAGAATGTCAACTGGGATAAGGTTTCATGAAGCCACACACACAAAATGACAACTTAGAAAAAAATTAATGTATTAAAGAATTATCTTCTTCTTCTTCGCATTCACCAGCTTTAAACTCCAGCAGAAAGTTCTGGTTGTTCATCCACTTCTAGTTCTGTTCTAGAAACTGAGTGTTGTGTGCACATCATTTCACAGGTCTGACTCATTCGCATGCAGACTGTTGGTTGCTTGCCTCTCAGGCAGATGTACTCTGACTTTGAAGGACGCTCCAATTTAGCCGACTCTTACGACATGCTTTTGGGCAGGCAGTAGGGCTATTCTTGTTTTTCCCACCATGGGGCTCCGGAACCCATACAGGGAAAAAGAATTACACGTACAAATGATTCCAATTCTGAAGTCAACACTAATATGACTTCCTCTGCATTCACCCCTAGAAGAATGGTTGACAAGCCAACACATACACATTATATTATTGGAATCAACTTCAGGTAACTGTATGCTAATGTCAGGTCACTGCAAGCTGGGCATCATGAGTGCTCAGTACTGCGATGCAGCAGCCACCCCAAGGTAGTACCACACTTCTCAGTACATGTATACCTCATTATATGTGACCTCATTTTAGATATGATTTCGGGGGGGAGGGGGGGGGGGGGGGGGTGAGAACATTGTACTGTACAGCAGCTTTACAGTCACCAGGTATTGGTTACCAGTATCAGTGTAAGAAGATTGCTGAGCTAGCACTATTGATGTAGAATATAGATTCAATCATTTTCAAGGCAATGGAAAAATGAAGTGTGCCTGATTATGACACCAAAGAAAGGGTTTCAAGGGTCCAAAACAAATGAAAGCTGTAACATTGAAGGAACAATTATTAGTTATAAAAAGGTAGGAAAACGACGAAAGCACAGTTGACACTGCCGCAGGCGTTTTAAGGGACGACATGGTTTCCACAATCCAAAGCTAACAGGTGAGTCTAAAGCAGGTGATGCTGCTGCTGAGAAGTTTGCAGCACAATTCTGAGCTGTAACTGGGAAGCAAGGTGACATGCTGCAGCCGGTGTTCAATCTCGATGAAATGGGGTTGTTCTGGGAAGAGTGTGCCAAGCAGAACATTTTTCACTGGTGGAAGAAAACAAGGCCCAGGGATTTAATGTCTTATATTTCTGTAAGGAAGAAATGCATCTGATGATTATAAAACCAAGCTAATGTTGGCTGGTTTATCACTCCTACAATCCAAGAGCACTCAAGGGTTACACTAAGGAGGAACTGCCCTTCTCTTCTTTTTTGTAAGTATTCAAATCGCTTTAAGGGTAGGTGTGCCGCGAAATATTCTTTTTGTCCGACAAAAAAAAAATTTGAGAAATGTTGCATTAACAAGTTGTTAGCCCGGTTTAGTGACATCAGCAGCATGGCCCGTTAGCTGGAGCTGGTCTTGGTCGAAACCAATGCAAGACAAACCATCCGCAGCAGGGATCTAACCCGGCACTCTGACATTACGAAAGCATTCGCAACATCTAATCCAGTCAAAACAAACACTGCACTAATGAGGACAACATGGTACACAAATGTCATTTTTACCTGTATCTTCTTCAGTTTCTCATCCTCAAGTTGCTTCTTCAATTTCTCTATTTCATTGTTGTCAGGTTTCTTTGCCATGTCTGTGAGTGGAAAAAAAAAAAGTTATCATGAAGCAGTGAAAAGTGATCCTTTGTCACGAGATGTCTTGATACGACAAATGTACTAAACAGAACATACGACTAAGCACTACCCATTTTCAACCGATCTACAGGAAAGAGGGGTGTAAATTATATAGTCACTTATAACATGGTGTGCACTGGCACAAACTGCTAGTGACATCATCATAATGGGAACCCCACTAAATCTATTTCTTGTGTAGCGGTTAGATGCTCACCTGCACAACTAAAGATCATGGGCTCAGGTCCGATGAAACCTTTGCCTCCCATGAAAACTTTACCTGGAACCCATTTAAGGCTGGGTCAACCTTGGGTCCAAAGTCATCAGCACCTGAACCCATAACCTTCAGATCTACAGGAGAGCGACTAGCCACTACACCAAGGCTGCCCCCTTCATGCCCAAGGTGTCCTTGATATCTGGTGTCCACTGCTGTTCTGCTCAACCCCTGCTTCCTCTTCTAGGAACTATATACCCTCCCTTACTGTTCTTTACAAAGCATTTTAGCACTTATGCTGGGGGGAGGGGGGGGGGACATTAACGCAGTCGATAGGAGACTCGCTTTCAAATCCAGCTGCGACTTGCTGCAGCCCACTGCCGGTGTTTGAAACCAGGCGGTTCCTGGGGTTCACCCAGCCTCTAGGAAATGAGTAGGAATTAACACTCTGGGGTAAATGGAGGAACATTGCAGTCGCTATGGAGTTGCGTGCGGACAACGACACAGGCGGACAGTTTCTTTTCAGCCGTCCGTTCTGGTGGCAGAGCACTTATGGTTTATAACCATGTGCAATGACGCTGTTCACATATCAAGACTTTATCCTTTTTTTTTCCTTCTTTTTATACGGCAGAATTTTTCTTCTTCTTTGCGTTCACCAGCTGTAAACTTCTGTGAAAAGTTCTGGTTGTTTGTCCACTTTTTTTTTTACTTTAGTCTTGTTCCAGAACATGAGTTTGTGTGCACATCCATTTTGAAGATCTGGCTTAATTGTACGTAAATTGTTGGTTCCCTGTCTCTCAGGCAGACGCACTCACTTTGAAGGAACCATCCCTAATTAGTCTACTTTTACAATATGCTTGTTACGGGGGCAGTGGATCTACTCACACCCCACCCCAACAATGGGGCCCCGAAAACAATACAGGGAATGGCAGAAGTATTTCATATCATTATCAATACGCTGAAATATAAATCCACAATTCTCACCTTCTGACATTGCCTTGATCTGCTTGTTGATTTCATTCTTCTCCTGGACCAGTCTGTCTAAATCTGACTCATATGTGAATTTCATCTTCTCCAGCTACAGAAGATAGGAAACAATGTACCTTAGGCAACAATATTTACACTCAGGACTTGGAATGAAAATTAAGTGCATTCTTCTTCTTCTTCTTTGCGATGTCCTGGTTGGGTACAACAAGAAAGAGAGAATCTAGAGGTGTGAAAGAAACATCAGCAATGGATAAGGAGCGCATTAACCCTTTGGAGACGGAGCTTTTTTGTTTTTAAATTTTAGTGCCAAAAAGACTAAGCCTTCAGAGAAGAATTCTCTAAGTTAACGCACAAAAAATTCATTTTAAAAAATAAAGCGCGTAATTAATTAACATATGCAAAACTATACATATTCGGGGAGGAAAATGAATGAACTAACAGAATATATATATGAATCAAACTGAAATCTCAACATTTATTCTAATTAACTATTATGATTTACATAATTTATGTAGGCATTTTTTTTTAAACTTGGGATCAAACATGACTTTCCTTTGGCTAAAATTTGGGTGAAATTTTTTTATGGATGAAGCCTGAATAAGTCCTAAGACCTGTGTTTTTGGGAAATAAGGCCCATGGAGGCCGTTCAGACACTTCTGACATATGGTTCTACTTTTTTCATGCCTTCTGCTATGTTTTGGTTTTTATGATGCAACAGGCCTTCTCGCTGTCGTTGGGCACAGGTAAGCTCACAACAAAACAAAACAAAAAACAAAACAAAAAATTGCTGTAAAACACATCAAACTTTCTCGAAAGCCGTCATTAAACAGCCCACATGAGCAAGAATTATGAGAAGCAATCTGATTGGCTGGTTCAAAAACCTGCCAGCCAATCTCAAGGCTTTTATTACACAGGGCCGACTGATCGGCCCAGCCGTTCTTTTGGCTAATTTGCGTTGGGCTGATATTTCCGCCGTGTCGTCTCCAGAGGGTTAAGAAAGCAGGTTAACTGTTTAGCTAGAGCTGAAAGGTCCTTTATCTGGAGCCCACAGGGCAAAAGAAATAAGGGGAGGCCTAAAACACATGCAGAAGTGAAACTGAGGCAGGTGAAACATTTGGGGGAGGACATGGAGTGAGCAGGAAGAGATGGCAAAAAGACAGGAGGGTTTGGCTAAGTTGCCTGAGGCCAGTGCACCACTGAAAGATACAAGACAGCAACCCACACACACAAAGAGAAGAAGAAAAAAGAACTTAGACATGAGCCAAATAATTTACAGTTAAAGTCGAGAAGAATGACTTCATTGCAGCAGGTTTGGTCCTATTTGGCTCGTTTTATCTCCAAAGAAAGGCTAGCAAAGTCAAGAAGAATGACTTCATTGCAGCAGGTTTGATCCTATTTGGCTTGTTCTATCTCCAAAGAAAGGCTAGCAAAGTCGAGAAGAATGACTTCATTGCAGCAGGTTTGATCCTATTTGGCTCGTTCTATCTCCAAAGAAAGGCTAGCAAAGTCGAGAAGAATGACTTCATTGCAGCAGGTTTGATCCTATTTGGCTCGTTCTATCTCCAAAGAAAGGATAGCCACCTACCAAGTCACACGAAGCATGAACTGCATAGCTATCACGGCAATCGCTGACAAAATTGCACCTGTAAAACAAATGGCACAGCCATAAAACAATCCCATGACCTTTAGAGCACGAGGCAAGCATATCTGACCCCCTTTGCCACTGAGTGTCCTAGCAAAATAAATACAGCAAATAACCAGACACATACACAGTAAGTATAGTTATGTATGCACATACAAAGGCATTTAAAAGGGTATTTAGGGGCAAGAAGATTGACTTCAATGCACAGTGTTCTAGCTCATGTTGCTTGGTCTCCATTGCCACAGAGTAGCGGTTCACTCACTGGTAGCATTAAAAACATAATGAAACTTTTTGTAGTGATTTTTCTTCATCTTCTCTTCTCGCCCTTAAAAGGGGGTTAGAATGTTGTGTTCTGGTTTACAGTTGGGCTGCAATGTCTGCTCTATTTAGCACAGTACATCTGATTTCAGAAAATCCTAAATCAGTCGCCTTTAAACATATTTGTTAGGGGGCTGTGTCTATTTTTGACAAGAATGGGGCCCCGAAACCCATGTAGAACCCTAGTGATGACTCAGGTATACTTGTATTTGTGAACCGAATATTGGAGTCCTAGATTGAAACTACCTTTAGATCTATCCACTTCACGAAGATTCCCAAGTACATACACATACATACATACACATTAAAGGTAAATATACCGTTCTTACCGCAGCTATTGTTGACTCCTTTTTGTTCATTTCACTTTTGTGTCGAGACATGAACTCTTTGATCTCTAAATCCAACATGGTCTTTTCCTTCTCAACATCAGAGAGCTGCTCTTCTGCAATCTGCCTGGCCAGCTGCTCGCTGTCAGCTTTAGCAAGTGCCAACTGAAGCTGGGCTCCCATGGAGTCTCTGCAGACAGATAGGAGATGGACACCAGATTAGATTTACAGTGAGAAATGAACATGAAGACAGATGCAGAACTAAGAACAATGGTAGGCATGGTACCGATAAATGATTTAAGAGAACATCAAGGGATAAAATGGTTTGGTCATCTGGTCAGAATGCAACAAAATCAGTCAGCAGCTAGAGCACACTACATGAGAACAACAGGCTACAAGTCAGGAGGCTGACCAGGAAAGAGATGGGTGAAGAGAGTAAAAGAAACACGACTGAAATGCATGGTTAAGTCACCAAATTCTTCCACTGCCCGCTTGTTTCCTATGTTCCTGATAAATTCCTCCCCACACAGGTTCCAGGGTGTGTGTCATTCTGGAGGAAAAAAAGAACAGACCCAGCATGGCCTAACAAGCATATCTATCATAAGAGGCGACTAATTAGGGTTTTGCTGAAATTGGATGTGTTAGGCCAAAAGGAGCAGATATCAGTCTAGCTGTAAACTACAACACACCATGCCAACTGCCCTTTAACAGCGAACGCAAAAAAAAAAAAAAAGAAGAGGAGGAGGAGGAAGATAAATTCAACTGGCATATGTCTTCCATTCCAAGCCAATTACAGTGACTTTGATTGCGCTAACATAACAATCTAGCATCTTCTGTTTCTTTCAACCATTGTCTCTCACATTCTTTTAAATTTCCCATTTGATACAACAAAACTATTAAAATTGACAATTTACACAGCACATCACTACTTTTAATCTAAGTATGGATGTTACATGCACAAAGCAATCAAATGGATTCAGAAAACAAAAAGGGCAGAATGGAATGGAGAAACAGAATGTGAGTTCTGTGTCATTTATAAACAAGACAACAAAATGATGATGATTTCAGTACTCTGGTGCCAACATTACTGAAGCAAGAAAACATGTAAGAAGGAAAGAAACAAGTCAATTTCAAATGACGCAAAAGTTAGTTAGTTAGTTAGTTAACAGATTATCCTTCTTGCACATGGAACCAATCAGTCCATCTGCTGGGATCCCCTCCTCAGTCATTTCCACTGTGTGTAAAGGTTGACAACACTAGCTAGTGCTGGTTTCTTAGTCTTCTTTGGCTTCCTGAACAGTGTTCTTTTCTGGCCACACCCCTTATAACTTGCTGTTCCTGCAGTCTGGTCATGGCTGCAGATTCGCTGGTGTGTTTGGGAGTGTGTCTTCCAGCGAGTGTGTTTACCTATGCTGTGTGACGGACGAGTATTTGTGCCTCGTACACAAAATAAATGACGCAATGGGATACAATAACAAAGCAATAGCAACAAGAAGAAGACAGAATAACTCACTTTTCTTGCAACATGTTCTGAATATCAGAGGTCAGATCCTGAATCTGTTTATTTTTCTCATCCACTTCCTCTTTCAGCTCTTTCACCTGAGTCTTATACAGCGACTGGAAGTAAAGAGAAAGAAAAGTCAACAAAGTCATATCAAGTTTTTCTTCTTCTTCTTAGCATTCACTGGCTGTAAACTGGTGGAAAGTTGTGGTTGTTTGTCCACTCCTGGACTTTGGTATTGATCAAGAACTGTTTCTGATTTGCTCTTAATGAGGGTTTTGACTTATAAAAAAACACAGTAGCTGGTAGATTTGCTGTTGCCTTTCTTGGCTAAAACGTCTGAGCTTTCAATGCCTTTAATGGCACAATCAGAGGGAATCTGCCTTTTTTTAACAACTCAGCTGGCTGCTCAAGATGAGGACGGAACACATATGGGAATGCCCCGAGTGCTGTGATGTAAATTCTTGGCTCAACTCAACTGGCAACTCAGCAAGTTCATTTGTTAAGACTCCAAAGTGAGTTGTCAGTGATTTTGCCTCTGTTGTTCATCCATCACGATTGATGAAGAACCACTTTCATCCAAAGCAGTAATGATCAACTATTATGAGTACGAAGGTGGCTGATTAGTCTAATATGAGCCTGGAAAGTTCTTGAGCAAGGCCTCTAGAGCTTGTATGGCTGACAGTGAATTTGTGGTAGACTTGTTCAGCTGTTTGATATTATAGTTACACTTTTCTACAGGATGTGGTTAGCCAAGATTTAAAAGAATTTATACAATGAATACAAGAAGTTCTTCCATTTATTTGAAATAAGTTGCCTTTTACACTTTTCTACAGGATGTGGTTAGCCAAGATTTAAAAGAATTTATACAATGAATACAAGAAGTTCTTCCATTTATTTGAAATAAGTTGCCTTTTTCACTTTTCTACAGGATGTGGTTAGCCAAGATTTAAAAGAATTTATACAATGAATACAAGAAGTTCTTCCATTTATTTGAAATAAGTTGCCTTTATCAGCAATGTTGTCTTTTGTATAAATGTTACTGTTTTTTTAATTTTCTTCAGTTAACTCAGCAGTCCGTAAAGTTTAGTTCTGAATGTGTTTTTTCTAGGTCAAATGATCTGTCTTAATGTGGTGTATTCAGGACTTTCTTGGAGTATGTGTTCTGCTGTATTCCAATTTGAAATAAACTAAACTTACAGCAGTTTCATAATAAGTGTTTTTACAAAGCATATATGATGACAGCACACAGATAATATTCATGAGATCATTGCCTCAGTGTTTTTTTTTTTTTTGGTTTGAATTTGCTTAACAAAATTTACAGAAATTAGCTGTAACTATCACATTATAAAACTTCTGTTACTTAAAATATTAAATATACAATCCCTGCTGCCACTGAAAGTCTTAAATTGAATATATTTTATATTTCTGAAGATTAGGTGTTGCATATATGATGACAGCACACAGATAATATTCATGAGATCATTGCCTCAGTGTTGTTTTTTTTGGTATGAATTTGCTTAAAAAATTTACAGAAATTAGCTGTAACTATCACATTATAAAACTTCTGTTACTTAAAATATTAAATATACAATCCCTGCTGCCACTGAAAGTCTTAAATTAAATATACTTTATATTTCTGAAGATTAGGTGTTGCGAGCGCACTTCATAAAACTGGGATACTAGGTTTGATCTCAGCTGCGGATTATTTAGCAGCATAATGTCTTGTATTTGTTTTGACGGTAGTACCGAGAGCTGACTGTTCAGAAAGCAACGGCACACTACTGAACATAAAATTTGCCTAGAAAAACCACAACGGCCACACACACAAATGCTAGGGTTGGTTCTGCAACGTCCTGTAACGCAACTAACTCACATATGTTGCGGAGCTGTGGCAGCACTGTGCATAGGCGCCTAACTGTCGATCCAAAGGTCCTGGGTTTTAATCCACATCAAGGTAGATTGAATTAAAACAGACTGCACTCCCCGATCGACTCAGTCTAAAATGGATACCACTGAATATCTTGGAAAGTAAAGAAGGCTTTGCATGACGTTGACCAAATCCTCCACTGCCAAAGGTCTATGAAAACAAGGGTCGAGCCTTATATGCCAAATGCGCTAATGGCATGAAAAAGGTCCTTCAGACACATGTAAAGGTCACTATCATCTTCCAATACTCATAACTTACAGAGAAATATGTTTCTGCTTCCAACTGTTCAGTCAGCTCTGTTATCTGCATTTCACTGACTGATCCCTCCCTGAAAAGAATAACAGTGACATTCTGAAAATATATGCACACATTTCTTTCTCTATCTCTCTTACTCTGTGTGTGTATATTAGGTCAGGAGTGTACATATGTTTGTGAAGAATTCACAGTGAAATGTAACTGCAAGTTAACCAGTGACTTCTGTAGAATTTTGAAGATAGAACTTAATCAACACAATTCAATGTTGGAAACTGAATTATGGTTCATATTTATTTCTTTGTAAGTTTCTGTGGTTTAGGGGTTATAAACACAGTTTCAAAAATCTGACATGCCAGGCCCAAATTAGCTGTAAGTGATTTTGCACCAGACCTCTCTGTGTGGTTTTCAACAATGGTATGAGCATCAAACTGCTATTACAGCAATGACAAACTAGTGACTGTAAACCTGGCTAGTTAAACCTCAAACTGCAAACTCAATGCTAGGGTTGGTCTGAGACATTCTGTAGAAGATATGCAAAAAACTTTAGGTTTTAATTAATTTGTTCCCTACTAATAAATCCAAAAACAACCCCCCCCCCCCCCCCCCCCCCCCAAGGAAACTCAGTAACCATGAAAATGAGATGTCTGAGAAAGGCTGCAGGAGTGCCCAGAAGAAATGAAATCAGGAATGAGGACAGAACCAATTATAAATTAGATACAAAGATAGTAAATCAAATGGTTTATTCCAGTTAAAACCCTTGTGACACCATACCATTCCAGGCGTAAACTAAAAGATAAGGACATAAAGCACAAGGCAGACCAAGAACAAGATGGAAAGATAACATCAGAGAAACTCTACAACAGCATGATGTGTCTATGATCGAGGTGGCCAGAAGAGCAAGAAGCAGAAGCTTATTTCTCCGTCAACACCTGAAGTGTTCAAAGAGGAAGTGAAGAAGAAGTAGTTCGCTATTTATATAATATTTATATTTACTGTTTTACTGTAACAGCTTTAAGTGGTGTACTTTATAAATTAACTTCATTTTTAGGCTCTTGTCACTAGTGCTGTATCTTCAACCAATACTTAAAAAGATACTTAGCTCAATCAAGCTCTTGTCACTAGTGCTGTATCTTCAACCAATACTTAAAAAGAAACTTAGCCCAATCAAGCTCTTGTCACTAGTGCTGTATCTTCAACCAATACTTAAAAAGATACTTAGCCCAATCAAGCTCTTGTCACTAGTGCTGTATCTTCAACCAATACTTAAAAAGATACTTAGCCCAATCAAGCTCTTGTCACAAATGCTGTATCTTCAACCAATATTTAAAAAGAAACTTAGCCCAATCAAGCTCTTGTCACTAGTGCTGTATCTTCAACCAATACTTAAAAACAAACTTAGCCCAATCAAGCTCTTGTCACTAGTGCTGGATCTTCAACCAATACTTAAAAAGAAACTTAGCCCAATCAAGCTCTTGTCAGTAGTGTTGTATCTTCAACCAATACTTAAAAAGAAACTTAGCCCAATCAAGCTCTTGTCACTAGTGCTGTATCTTCAACCAATACTTAAAAAGAAACTTAGCCCAATCAAGCTCTTGTCACTAGTGCTGTATCTTCAACCAATACTTAAAAAGATAGCCCAATCAAGCTCTTGTCACTAGTGCTGAATTTCAACTCATACTTAAAAAGATTTCAACTCATACTTACAAAAAAATTTAGCCCAATCAAGCTCTTTTGACTAGTGCTGTATTTCAACTCATGCATACACAGATAATTAGCCCAATCAAGCTCTTTTCACTAGTGCTGTATTTCAACTCATACTTACAAAGATAATTAGCCCAATCAAGCTCTTGTCACTAGTGCTGTATCTTCAACCAATACTTAAAAAGATACTCAGCCCAATCAAGCTCTTGTCACTAGTGCTGAATTTCAACTCATACTTAGAAAGATTTCAACTCATACTTACAAAAAAAATTAGCCCAATCAAGCTCTTTTGACTAGTGCTGTATTTCAACTCATGCATACACAGATAATTAGCCCAATCAAGCTCTTGTCACTAGTGCTGTATTTCAACTCATACTTACAAAGATAATTCGCCCAATCAAGCTCTTTTGACTAGTGCTGAATTTCAACTCATACTTACAAAAATAATTAGCCCAATCAAGCTCTTTTGACTAGTGCTGTATTTCAACTCATACTTACCAAGATACTTAGCCCAATCAAGCTGCTGTCACTAGTGCTGTATTACAACTCATACTTAGAAAGATACTTAGCCCAATCAAGCTCTTTTCACTAGTGCTGTATTTCAACTCATACTTACAAAGATAATCAGCCCAATCAAGCTCTTTTCATTAGTGCTGTATTTTAACTCATACTTTCAAAGATAATTAGCCCAATCAAGCTCTTTTCACTAGTGCTGTATTTCAACTCATACTTAGACAAATACTTAGCCCAATCAAGCGCTTTTCACTAGTGCTATATTTCAGCGCATACTTAAAGATACTTAGCCCAATCAAACTCTTTTCACTAGGGCTGTATCTTCAATCAATACCTACAAAGATACTTAGCTCAATTAAGTCTTTTCATTAGTGCTGTATTTTCAACCCATACTTACAAAGATACTTAGCCCAATCAAGTCTTTTCATTAGAGCTGTGTTTGTAATGATCCTCACAAAGATGCTTACCTAAAATCAAGCTCTTTTCACAAGTGCTGCTGTATTTCAACTCATACTTAGTCCAATCAAGCACTTTTCATTAGTGCTGCTGTATTTCAACTTATACTTAGAAAGATACTTAGTCCAATCAAGCTCTTTTCACTAGTACTGCTGTATTTCCTTAAACTTAAAAAGATACCTAGCCCAATCAAGCTCTTTTCACTAGTGCTGCTGTATTTTAACCCATACTTACAAAAATACTCTACCTAATCAAGCTATCTTCACTGGTGCTATTTTTTCAACTTATACTTAGAAAGATACTTAGCCCAGTCAAGCAATAACATTTAAAAGAAGATATGAGTAGACAGTAGATAACACTAGCTAAACAAACAAACCATTAACAGCTAAAAACAAGAATTCAGGTAACCTAATAAAGAGACTGACAAACCTGTCACAAAACCATCTCAGTGATCTCAGAATGTATTGTGTTAAATAATTTCTTTCTTCAAAAAAAAAAAAAAAAAAAAAAAAAAGAATTATATTTACTATGCACAAGGCCTAAACTACTAAAACCTGGGTATTAATAACTGGTTTCAGTTGTCAGAAAAATTGGTGGAGGCTGCTTTTATAATTCTTTAACAGGAGAAGGATGCTGGAAGGGGTCTTCTGCCCTATCTATCAATTCACACATTAAAGTAATTTAGACATTTAACCCTACCAGACCACTGGCCCGATTTTCCGGGAATTTCTTAACCTGACGCTATACCGCTAGCCCTAATTTTGGGCTATTTGGGTAGTACGGGGAAAAGATGCGTCAAACTAAAAATAACTAGCCAATCATAATCAGACCTCGTGAATAGACTTCCTAGATGTCAGCCCTTGTGTGTTTGGATAAAAAATTTTGTTTTGAATGAAAAAATTCTGAAAATTCACAATAAAACAAGCGCTGATGAACCAAGCACTTCGACAGGAAAGTAAAGTAGGTCTAGGCTTTTCACAGTCTAACAGGTGATCGATACTTTGCTTTATTCAGACTCTGCGGAGTCATTATTTCATGAAGAATACGTTCACAGTTGAAGTAACACATTCAGCTCGAATAATGAGGAGAATCTTGGGAACTATAAATCTAGAAATAGATCGGTTGTAAGAGAAGGGGGCGTGTCCCTCAAACAGCAACATCTGGTGCTCACTTTGTGAAACAATCTTGATCCTCCTGAGTGGATTGGCACACAATGGTGGAATGTTGATGCTAGATGAAAGATAAGCTTATTTTCTACAATGTCTTTAAGTTTTATCTTATTCTAGCCACTTGTTTGCATGTAACAAATATTTGTGTATATCATGTTGGTTTTCGGGTTAATGCCCAGGAGCTCAGGTACAAGTGACAGTTAGGTTCAGGGCCTCAGGTCTGGTAGGGTTAAAACATCTTTCCTTCTTTCCTGTGGGTACCAAGTGGGTTTTCTCTAGAGCCACCATATGTGGGTATTACAAAAAGTGCTATGTTAAAGATTACTAAAACAAAAATTGAACTTACTCCTTCAATTTCTTGATCTCCTCATCAATTCTTTTCTTTTCTTCCTTCATATCTTCAATTTCCTGAAGATTAAAAAAAAACATAATTAAGGATGCACTGCATCTGTAGTGATCAACCACAGGGAAATATAGATTACTGAATGACAAAATGATACACATGCTGAAAGTTTACCTAATTTCAAATCATCATGACATTTCACGTGGCCGAAGAATTTCAGTTTGGGAGAAATTATACTGTTAACAGCCAGTCATTCTGATATTCAGATACAGAAGAATGTCGGTTTTTTTCGTCTTCTTGGTCACATTCCAAGAATCTTCCTATAACATTTAAGTTCAAAAGCCCCATTTATTGGGGGATGGGTGGGGGGGGGGGGGGGGGGGGGGGGGGGGGGGGGGGGGGCTGGAACTGCAAAACATCCCACAACTCACATAATATGTTGAAGGAATAATGCCGTCTCTTAGGAATGTTATATACAACGTAAAACTACCATTTACAATTTTCTCTTTTCTAATTAAAAAAAAAAATACCTTTGCCTGTTGTTTCTCTTTAGTCTTCATACGTTGCAGCTCCTGCTGTAGATTCTTGATGTCAGTATTAAGAAGATTTCTCCTCTGCCCTTCTTGTTCAACTTGGAGGGATATGTTCTTGTTCTGTTTAGAAAGAAAGTCAAATAAATGTGCAGTAGCAATGGATGCATAATGTGTTATCTAACTATTTTACATTTAATCAGTATTAAGCAAATCTTTCTTTCTTAATGGTAACTTTACTGTGTTGTCATTTCTGGCCGCTGCCTCATGTATTTAATGTGTGTGCATACTATTAGCTTTGCAGGGACTGCAGTCTTTTTAAATTGTTTTTCAAGAAAGAGTGACAAGTGTTTTTTTTTCGCTGCTACAGGAACGAGACAAATAGGGTGTGACCCATTTGCTGCGCAGCTGGAACAGCAACTTGTATCTCCTTTAATGTGTATTTCTTATAGTTCCTCTCCTGTGTTGTCAATCTGTACACAGCCTTCTGCTCTGTATACTACAAATAATTTCATAATAGAGATACTCCTCAATGACACGACGTAAAAAAAAATATTTTATCTCTTCAGGTTTTTCCTTCTCATGAGATGCCCAAGGAAAATTAATTGTCATCTTTATAAGCAGGAAATTAGCTCCGTTTGTGACTACTTTTTTCCCCCCAAGATATCTTAAACATGCTTCTTCTTCTTCTTTCATTCGCCTGAAATAAGTTGTCTATATCAACAATTTTGTCTCTTGTATAAATTTCACTGTTGTTGTTAATTCATTCAGTGGTCCATAGAGTTTACATTCCACTGTTGTTCTTTCTGGCCAAAAGGTTTGCCTTAATGTGCCAAATTCGGTGCAGTCTTGAAGTACATGCTCTGCTGTCTGGGGCACCTTTCCACAGGTGCACATGGCTGATACACCTATCTTGAATTTTGTGTACATGTGGTTACGTAATCGGTTGTGCCCTGTTCTGAGGCGGAGGATAATGACTTGTTCTGATCTGTCCAAAATAAAATAGTCGTCTTGTGCTGGGGCTGGTGGTTTCCTGATTGATTTAATGATTCTTTTCTTTTGGTGGTATGTGACTGGTACATCCGGCTGCACTTTTGTTGCACCTTCTCCTGCCAGTTGATCAGCTTTCTCATTTCCAGGCACTCCACAATATGATGGTATCCACTGCATTATAACTCTTTGCTGAAGGCTAAGTTGTGTCAGCAGTGTTTGCAATTCTGGTAGTTTCCTAGACTGGAGTGCTTCAAGTACTGATTTTGCACCTGTCAGCATTACCACATACTGGTGGCCAAGATTGGTATTTAGCAGTTTCTCTGTTGCTATCTTGATAGCCTGAGTTTCTGCATCATAGTTATGGCAGTAATTTCCGGTTGGTACGCTGGACTTATCCCTAGTACCATCTGGGAATTCTATGTACACTCCAGCACCACCATTTTTAACTGCACTTTCTGCGGACCCATCTGTATAGACTCTGACCCATTGTTCTTGTGGGTATTCTTCATCAATATAACTGAGGGTGGCCATTCTGCGTAGTTAATTATCTTGTTCTTTCTTGTCAAATATTCCTTTCACATTTGTCTGGATTTGTACTGTTAGTTTGCATTTCTCTCTCCATGGGGTTTGTTCTGGAATACTGTTAAGTGGACAACCAATTTCTGGAAGGTCAGCAGTTTGTCTACATATTCTTTTTGCTTGATGTATAAAGCTGCTTCTTTTTAACAGTCCCAAGGCTAGGTTCTGAAATCTATTTTTCATGGGGTGATCTGGCATACTGAGTTACTTCTCAGCTCGTATTTGCAACTTTGTATCTCTGCGTTCTCTCAGTGCCTGTGTTTTCCCAGCTTTCTCCATTTCTAATATGAGGGTTGATTTCATCCCTCCTGTGATGACTCTGAGTGCTTGATTTTGCACTTTGTCCAACTCCTTTAATGTGGTTCTAGATGCTGAACACCATGTATTTGACCCATATTCCAAGTGTGGAAGTAGGCTATGCTTGTATACTTTATTGAGTATTTTGCCACTGGCTCCCCATGTGGTTCCACTTAGTTTTCTTAGTAAGGCTGTCTTCCTCCTAGCTTTGGTTGCTGCCTTGTTGATATGTTTTCTCCATGTCAACTTGTCATCAAATGTGACTCCGAGGTACGTGGGTTTTTTATCATCTCTTAGGGGTAGTCCGTTTATTTTGATGATGCCCGCCTTTTGCTTTGGAGAAAGAGTGAAGAGTGTGGTGCTACATTTGTCTGTATTGATGCTGACACATGCTTTACATCCCTCTATCTTTATAAGACTGAAAATTTTGTGTTTGCCTAAAAAAATGACTTAAAAATTCTGCAGTAGCTAGAAAGGCTTTTGAAAAATGGTCATCAGAGAAAAAATATTTAGATTATCTGATGTGATACTATGACAGACAAATCACAGACAAAGTATTACTACAAACACAAATAAGTTCACAGAATTCTCCACCCAATATAAATATTTTTCTCTAATAAAGGACGTTTTTAAATATCTTATGCTGTAAAGCAGGGCTATTCAACTGGCGGCCCAGGGGCCACATTTGACCCGCGGAGGCCTAGCAAGTGGAAGATCACTGTCAGCTGTATTGTATTAATGATATTGCTATGATTGGGCTCGGGACACTGGTCCATGATGATGGTTATTTTCAACATTTTGGCCCCTGAGTTGAGCTGAGTTAATTCAAGAACGGACATCACAGCACTGTGGGCATGCCCATAAGCGCTCCATCCCCATCTTCAGCACCCAGCGCAGAGTTCCTATAGCAATGGTGCCAGTAGCAATAATGATTAAATGTCCGTCTTGCCTTTCCTCTGAGCGTCCAGCATCAGCCAAAACCCCTCATCACTCCCTGCAGCATCAATCTCACCAGACTGTGGTGATCCATTTGCTCCTCCGAACTGTACACTCTAAGATGCCACTCTGCACGCATCATGTCTGTTTTGACCTTCCTCAGCATGCTTTATGAGTCAGTTACAATCATGATGAGTGTGTGTGTCATGTTCTCTAACCAGGGGAAAGCTGCAGTGACCGCCCCCAACTCCATTCTTAAGATGGATGCTGTGGTATCATATGCTAGGCTCTCCTGCACCAAACGTCAACCATTAACTTTTGCTAAGAAACCCCAAGCACTTCTTTTGCCTCTTGACACTGAACCGTCTGTATGAATAATCACATCCTCTGAGCGAGCATTATATTGAATTAAATGCTGAATTTCCACCTCCGTGGCACCTGTTGGCCACTCTCTGCACTCCCAGCTAAATGTGATTATGACTCTACACAAATCCAACTGTTCCGTTGGCACTCTGACCCACTCCTCTCCTAGCCTAATGTTCTCCAGGATGCAAACCTGTCTCTGTCTTCTGCCTGAGCCATCCACGACTACCCTCTTATCAGCCGCTGACCCTTAATTGCGCCCAGAGCTTCGTGCAAAGGCGGATCTGTATCTGCAGCTACTCTGAGATATGACTTCGTCTCCAGCACCTTTAGCCTACCTGCAACAGTCGGCAAACCTAGGATGTATCGCACCTACACAACTGGAGTGTCTCTGGTATGACCCGCTGTCGCGTGCGAATGTGCACTAGAACGCACCGGTACTGAGTGAGCAAATAAGACGTCAAAACAATTGTAAAGGTATTGTTGTCAAGGGCAGTTGATGTTTACAGTCCGAAGGAGACGGACGTGTGGATCCTTGAGGACGCTTTACCCCGGGATCCCACGGAAGCAAACGTTGTATAAAGTTGGATCCTTGAGGACGTTTTACCCCGGGAATCCAATATAGACCTCAGCAGGAAGCTGGTATATCGTCACAGTTCGGCAGTAAGCCGGTATACGTACGGACTGCAACCCGTCGTGAGGACATAGCAGTCCATGGATGTACGAGCGGGCTTTTGTTGATATGCTTGAATGAGTCTGGATTATTAATTGCACATTTTCTCCTTGTGTTGATCATTACAATTGTCAATACACAAATGGAACCTTTAAAAAGAGTTCTCGTTCCACTACGTTTGGAAGCTTCAACATTCATCATGTTGTGATACTCTTGGCCAGTGGCATGTTAAGTGTTGATGCCATTTGTTACATTGCGACGCCCCTAGTCACTGTTTGTACGCCGCACATCACCACGCAGCCTTTACAGCACATCACACTGTAGGCCAAGCTTACGCTCGTCACACCCGCATAGCTGCGTTCTGTATGCGCTCTAGTTTATCCATCTGACTCTTTGAGACGGTAAGCAGTCCTAGTCCATAATCAATCACTGAAAGAATCAAGTGCAGATGTAGTGCGAAAAGCATTCTCCGCTCTATGTCCCTTGCATTTGTCCCCTGAGTAAACCTAGTTGAATAGCCCTGCTACAAATGATTAATGAATAATGAGCTGCTGGAATCAGTATTGAACAATAAATGGAAATTATTGTTTAACAGCATGATTTGATTTGATTCAAGAACCGACATCACAGCACTTGGGGCATTCCCATAAGTGCTCCGTCCCCATCTTTAGCAGCCAGCGAAGAGTTCTGATACTAATGGTGCCAGTAGCATTCTGATTAAATGTTCGTGTTGCCTTTCCTCGGAGCCTTGAGCATCTGCCAGAACCTCTCGTCACTCCCCGCTGCATCAATCTCACCAGACTGTGGTAATCCATCTGCTCCTCCAAACTGTACACGTTCTCCCACAAGGCACTAACCACGTCTGCCTTATCATGTATCAGTATTCCACCAAGTTGTGCAGAGCCAGCCAGTCTGTCCGCCTGTTCATTCCCCAACACACCAGCATGCGCCGGTTAGTTAACCAGCATTTCCAAGCTGACTATAATTAGGATTTATCTATGTATTGTACATGTTTGTCTTTTTTTTTTTAAATGAACTAGATCATTACCATCAGAATGTGCCCTGTCGATGAGTGCAGGCAGCCATGCTTTGCCATATCACATGATCTGAGATCTGAATCACGGATCAGGTCAGGTCTCGTCTCATCCCTATCCACATGGCCAAGCCATCCAGGTATTTATCACTTTGCCTTCCCCGTGATCTTTTCTCATCAATCTTACCATAAGGAAGCTCTTAAGCCCGTCTGACTGTCCATACATACCACAGGAATAAGACGGAGCTGATATGGGCTTGTCCTGAATGCTGTGATGTTGAATGGATACCATGATGAACCCAGACATGCTACAGATACCCAGACATGCTACAGATACCCAGACATGCTACAGATAGATACCCAGACATGCTACAGATAGATACCCAGACATGCTACAGATAGATACCCAGATATGCTACAGATAGATACCCAGACATGCTACAGATAGATACCCAGACATGCTACAGATAGATACCCAGATATGCTACAGATACCCAGATATGCTACAGATACCCAGACATGCTACAGATAGATACCCAGACATGCTACAGATAGATACCCAGATATGCTACAGATACCCAGATATGCTACAGATACCCAGATATGCTACAGATACCCAGACATGCTATAGATACCCAGACATGCTACAGATACCCAGACATGCTACAGATACCCAGACATGCTACAGATACCCAGACATGCTACAGATACCCAGACATGCTACAGATACCCAGATATGCTATAGATACCCAGATATGCTACAGATACCCAGATATGCTACAGATACCCAGATATGCTACAGATACCCAGACATGCTACAGATAGATACCCAGATATGCTACAGATACCCAGATATGCTACAGATACCCAGATATGCTATAGATACCCAGACATGCTACAGATACCCAGACATGCTACAGATACCCAGATATGCTATAGATACCTCAGATATGCTACAGATACCCAGACATGCTACAGATACCCAGACATGCTACAGATACCCAGACATGCTACAGATACCCAGATATGCTACAGATACCCAGATATGCTACAGATACCCAGATATGCTACAGATACCCAGATATGCTACAGATACCCAGATATGCTACAGATACCCAGATATGCTATAGATACCCAGACATGCTACAGATACCCAGACATGCTACAGATACCCAGATATGCTACAGATACCCAGATATGCTACAGATACCCAGACATGCTACAGATACCCAGACATGCTACAGATACCCAGATATGCTACAGATACCCAGATATGCTACAGATACCCAGATATGCTACAGATACCCAAACATTCTATAGATACCCAGATATGCTACAGATACCCAGATATGCTATAGATACCCAGACATGCTACAGATACCCAGATATGCTACAGATACCCAGATATGCTACAGATACCCAGATATGCTATAGATACCTCAGATATGCTACAGATACCCAGACATGCTACAGATACCCAGACATGCTACAGATAGATACCCAGATATGCTACAGATACCCAGACATGCTACAGATACCCAGATATGCTATAGATACCCAGACATGCTACAGATACCCAGACATGCTACAGATACCCAGACATGCTACAGATACCCAGATATGCTACAGATACCCAGATATGCTACAGATACCCAGACATGCTACAGATACCCAGACATGCTACAGATACCCAGATATGCTACAGATACCCAGATATGCTACAGATAGATACCCAGACATGCTACAGATACCCAGATATGCTACAGATACTCAGATATGCTACAGATACCCAGACATGCTACAGATACCCAGACATGCTACAGATACCCAGACATGCTACAGATACCTAGACATGCTACAGATACCCAGACATGCTACAGATACCCAGACATGCTACAGATACCCAGATATGCTACAGATACCCAGATATGCTACAGATACCCAGACATGCTACAGATACCCAGACATGCTACAGATACCCAGATATGCTACAGATACCCAGATATGCTACAGATACCCAGATATGCTACAGATACCCAGACATGCTACAGATACCCAGACATGCTACAGATACCCAGACATGCTACAGATACCCAGATATGCTACAGATACCCAGACATGCTACAGATAGATACCCAGATATGCTACAGATACCCAGACATGCTATAGATACCCAGACATGCTATAGATACCCAGACATGCTATAGATACCCAGACATGCTACAGATACCCAGACATGCTACAGATACCCAAACATGCTACAGATACCCAGATATGCTACAGATACCCAGACATGCTACAGATACCCAGACATGCTACAGATACCCAGATATGCTACAGATACCCAGATATGCTACAGATACCCAGATATGCTACAGATACCCAGATATGCTACAGATACCCAGATATGCTACAGATACCCAGACATGCTATAGATACCCAGATATGCTACAGATACCCAGATATGCTACAGATACCCAGATATGCTACAGATACCCAGACATGCTACAGATACCCAGACATGCTACAGATACCCAGACATGCTACAGATACCCAGACATGCTATAGATACCCAGACATGCTACAGATACCCAGACATGCTACAGATACCCAGACATGCTACAGATACCCAGACATGCTACAGATACCCAGACATGCTACAGATACCCAGACATGCTACAGATACCCAGATATGCTACAGATACCCAGATATGCTACAGATACCCAGATATGCTACAGATACCCAGATATGCTACAGATACCCAGATATGCTATAGATACCTCAGATACGTTACAGATATCTCAGCCCAATTTCTTCTAACCTTATCGATCTCCATTTTGAGTTCTGCTTTCAAGGACTGGTTACTCTGTGTTAGCTGTGCTACATCAACTGAGAGTTCACTGTTCCTCTTTTCCGCCTCCAACAACTTTGCATCCAGCTTTTGTCTCAAAACCTTTTCCTGGTCTAGTTTTATCTGGAGCTCTAAAAATAAACACAGCTTTGTTGCACTAGGCAAAGATAAATCTTAACAAAGTAAGCAGCTTTTATTAACAAAGTAAGCAGTTAAACTTAACAAAGTAAGCAGCTTTACTTAACAATAAAAGCAGTTTTACTTAACAAAGTAACTTAGCAAAGTAAGCAGCTTTATTAAACAAAGTAAGCAGTTTAACTAAACAAAGTAAGCAGTTATACTTAACCCAGTAAGCAGTTCTACTTAACAAAGTAACAGATTTTACTTAATAAAGTACTTTAACTTAACAAAAGTAACAAGTTTTATTCGATTAGCAAAAATGTTTACTTTAAGTAGCCAGTTTTACTTAACAAAGTAATGAGTAATCCTTAAAATTTGCAATTAAACTTAACAAAGTAACTAATTTTATTCAACAAAGTTACCAGTTTTACTGAACAAAATAACCAGTCATTAAGAAATTTAACTCAACAAACAAAAACGTTTCACTTAACAAAGTAACCAGTTTTATACCTCTAACAGCATCTGAGTTGGCACTGCCAGTAATGATCTCCCGTGATTTGTTCGCCATATATTCTTCTACAGTCTCTTTATGTGCTTGTTTTTCTGCCTCCCATTTGGTCTTGAAACTATCACGTTCAAGTTCTATACTTGACAAATTCTGAAAAGGATTTGTAGTTATTTGATGATAATTTATATGAAAATATTATTATCTATGATCATATGTTGCAAAATGTAATTTGATGAGTATATGCACATACATGTATACAGCCAATATCATTACCCTATATGAGTGAAAATGTAGTTACTTGATAAAACATATACGTAAAAATGTATTAGCCACTTGATGATCATAAACATGATTAAAGACAGTTAATAAGATGACCATATGTATGTGATATGGTATGGTTACTTGATGATCTTCTTCTTCTTCTTCTTCACTTCCTCTTTCACCGCTGCGGGTGTCGAGGGAGATATAAGGTTCTGTTTCTAGCTCTTCTGGTTGCCTCGACCATAGGCACATCGTGCTGTTGTAGAGTTTCTCTGATGTTATCCTTCCATCTTTTTCTTGGTCTACCCCGTGCTCTACCGTTTATATCTCATTTTGATTTCTGTAGCGATAATAAATCCATTGCCAGCTTGCTAGGCCTGTCGCAACTTCACCAGAGCCCCGTTGGCCAGGACATTTCGGGGTGACCAAATTTGATGATCATTTATGTGAAAATGTACAGTAAATAAAATGGCTCTGAGTGTGTCTTCACGTACATGCGTGCGTGTGTGTGCGTGCGCATTTACGTGTTTATCTATAACAATTTAAAGTTGTTTTTTTTTTTAAATATGATCATGAATGTGAAACTTCACACTTTTGATGAATGCATGGGAAAATGTCTGGAGCAGAAATTCACCTTCTCTAACTGGTACAACTTTGACTGCATGTGCTGGATATCTTGGATGTAGGACCGCTCCTTCTTCTGGAATTCTTCTTGCCCATTATACAAGGCCTGTAGTCTGTCTGTAGAGAGAAAGTGAATATATTATAGAATATGGTTCTTTATTATCTTACCCCAGATGACGACACATGACAGTCCAACATTTTCAAGGGTGGTAAGACTGGGTTTCCCGGCATTCTGATGCTTTTAACAACATCAAAACATCTAGAACTGGCCTTAACCCCAACTCACTTACATCCCATGAAAGAGTGCAGCCTGGGTCTCACGAATGCATGCAGCCTAGGTCCCACGAGTGCGTGCAGCCTATCTACCACCCCCTGAAATATTAGACTGTCCCGTGACCTGTGGATTTCCCCTGTTTGGGGTAGGATATTAATAAAGTACCTTGAATATAGTATATAATAAGACTATCTCAGTTCACAAGACATTCTCTTGACACCTATAACTGCTGTGAATACCCAGGACGGAACAACAGTTTTTAGGATATAATCTGAAAACTAGGCAGCCAGACATGCTCACCACATCACCCATCAAGTAGGTCTGGGACCCAGCATCATATGCTTGCTACTCTGATGGCAAAAAAAGGATTGTTTCATTCATCATTTATCTAAACAACTTTTTGTTTTATCACAAACTTAATTCACCCCTGTATAAACTAAAACAAATCTTTATGGAGCCATGAAAGCATAGTAGCAAGATGCCTGCCTGCTGGCTCAAAGGCCTTGGGTTCGGATCTGAATTGAGTTAGTTTTAAATAATTAACTCTCAAGGTGACCCTGCCTAAAATGAGTTATCAGGAAAAAAATAATGAGAAGTGAAGGTGGCCAGAAAAATGCTGACATCATTCATCAAAAGCCTACTGGTCTAGAACCATATTACGTACATGATAAGTGCTAGGAAAAGGGTCATATTCTTCTTTTCTGCTCACATTTAAGCACCAACGAAATTTACTGTTTTCCAGAAAAAAAGACCTAACCTGAAAATAAGTCCAGCATGAATGTTCAGGATGCTCGTAATATAAGCCCTACCTTAAATATGAGCCATAGTTCAGATTTTCAGCCAGACAAACAGCTTTTGTTAATAGACATACTTGATGGACATTACAAATTTATCAAGATGTTCCAAAACAAAATAACACGACTGTATTAGAATAAATGTAGATGTCTGTAATTGAAATTATGTAAATTTCTGTACTTTAATAAATGTTAATTTTTTGTTCAATAACAAAGAAAGAAATCCCCTGAAATAAGCCATAAGGCGTCATTTGGAGCAAAAAAAAAAACTAATTTAACACCTGGTCTTATTCTCAAGGAAACGCGGTAGTCATTACATTCTATACTAACCCACACACACACACAAAAGTAACTTACCTGCTAATTCTTGAGCTCTGGAAGACTCTGTCAACCTAGCATTTCTCTCTGCGTCAAGGGAAGACTGAAGTGCATAGTTATCTTTCAGCAGGGATTGCTTGGATGACTGTAGCTCTTGATACTTGTTGCTGAGGTCAGCGTAATTCTGCTCCGTCATGTTGTGGCGCTGCTGAAGCTCTGTGTACAGCTTCTTTTGTTTATTGCTCGACTCCATTTCCTGCCTCAGTTTCTCCTTTAAATCATTCACCTGTGTGTGTGAAAAGTGTTGAAGCTACGGTTATTTGCGTGTCTTTTATTTTTTCTTCCTCTCCTTATGCCATTTATTCTCCCAATGGAGCACAGGCCATCAAAACAACTCAAGACGAGCCATCATTTCCTTCTCTATCGTGAAGCTCACCCCCAGTCCACCACATCTTTTTTTTAAAATTTTTAAACTTCATTCTCTTTCCTTTCCTCACGTTTCTTTTTCTCTGCCTCTATTCATTTATCCCCATTATGCCATTTTCTTGAATAAAACAGGAAAATTAATGGCTCTCCTGTCATTTAGGGCTGGTAGACAACAGTTGATGGCCGGTTAGTCGGAGTTCTGTCCCCTGGCTGCAGTGCTATTACACACTGGAGACGGCACGAATCAAAAAACACAGTGAGGTCGAAATGCCTGGCAGACCCGCGCTGCGACTCAAAGTAGCGACCGCGTTCAATTACCGCTTCTTGCGACACATTACGGAGTGGACTAGAGGGAACACAACAAGTGACATATTTACTGTGTGTCCGCGATAGACAGCGTGCAGTGCCCTAGGGTTAGGGGTAGGGTTAGGGTTTGGGTTAGGGGTAGGGTTTGGGTTAGGTTTAAAGTTAGGGTTAGGGTGTGGGTTGCTACGATGAGTTTGTGCGAAGACGAGATGCGGCGACACTAACCGTAACCAACCCACATCCTAACCCTACACTTAACCCTAACCCAAACCCTACCCCTAACCCAAACCGTAACCGTATGATTATAGCAGGGCAGTGCACGCTGTCTATCGCCAACACACAGTAATTATGTCATTTGTTTCGTTCCCTCCTGTCCACTCTGTAATAGCACTGCAGCCAGGGGACAGAACTCCGACTAACCGGCCGTCGACTGTTGTCTACTGGCCGTTGTTGACAGGAGAGCCAAATTAATTCTGCTGCCAACACTGCCATTGCCTGAGTATAGCTAGTACCCATAAGGGTAGCAAAGACATTAACACCCCCCCCCCCCCCCCCCCCCCCCCGATGTGGGTTCTGGGGCCCCTTTCTGAGGGAAAAAAGACAAGACCCACTGCTCCATACTAAGCATGTCGTAAAAGGTGATTAATTAGGCGTCTGCTGAAATCTAATGAGTTGGGTCAAAAGGTGCAGGTATCGCAGCCTGGCTGTAAGCCACAACACATCATGCTAACCACCATTTTAAAATGAAAACTGAAGATGAAGAAGAAGAACAACAAGCAGCATCATGAGGAGGAGGAGAAGGAAAAAGAAGAAGAAGAAAAACAGTACCACTGTAATCTATGCATGCCCTAAAAGGTGTCTTACTGAGGCTGGCGTGATTTAACTCATCCCACAGAAAACTGTAACTGCAAAATATGGTAACAATGACTAAATCTACACATGGCTTTTCAATCACTTGTTGATGGCCTATGCTCCTTAGTGATATTTCTCTTCTTCTGCAGAAGTGTAAACAAACAGGCATTCAAAGAGAGAAAGTCTTGATGTTATACTAAAAACATGATGTTTGTAATGCTGAATGAACTGAGTGGCTAAACATGACAAGTGGAATCCCTCACATACCAACATTTTATATGCAGCACCAGTACAGACAAATGTCTAGAAAGGTGCACGTTTGACAAGACAGTTATTTTTCCAGCACTTTCTCTGACATTTGACCACCACAAACAAATTAAGTGACATCTCAATATTGGTATCAAGTATCACTGTCACTGCGTTATTCATGTGACCAACCGTTATGTCATAAGCCCTAAGTGACAATTCTTTATACATTATAACAGTTCATTTCAAAACAATGTTTTATCATTGTAATTTTAAATAGTGCGGACACAAACAATTCATTGCACAATTTATTGCCCTGCATATTTTGCTGTATCTTGTCAATTCATTTGTTCAGACTGTGAAGATCGAGAGAAACTGGCTCAGTAACACTATCATTTCTCAGAAATTGAAATATTTCAGCTTCATTAAAAATCATAATGGTTTGGACAGAACAGTAATAGGAAGCATAGTTCATGGCAGAAGAGGCATGGGTGGACCAACACGGCAATGGACACAGAAAATTGAGGACACTGTGGGCATGAAAGTGGAAAATTGGCAAGGGGCTGAGTTGATTTCTAACTTGCTATGATGAGAGCAATGTTGTGCAAAAGACCTGCAATAAAATGATGACTGCAATTTGTATCATCATCATCATCATCAATTTGCACTGAGCTGAGATTCTTCAGACTCAGGTTTGAGTTAGAAGTAAAAAGTAACACTTATGATTTACACCCGTGTACCATGATGTTGATCTGTGGACTAAAATAGTGAAATTTCCACTTCAGCCGTTAAGCGTTGTGGGGAGAAACAGTTTGCGACCCACTGCTTGATGGGCAGCAATGGCTAATGTCATTCTGTGTCGATGTAGAAGCTATATAATGTCATCAACTCATGTTATCCTAGGGCACCCTCTTGCTTTCACTTCAGATATGTTCATGTGTAGCGCCTGCGTTGATAGTTGTTCTGGCTGCATTCTTACTAAATGACCAAGCCATCTGATCTTCTGTTTCTCAACGAATTTGCTGCATGGTGTTGTTCCTTCAGTCTGTCTGATAATATCATTTCGGCGCTCCTTTGAATCATTCCCCAAAATGGTGGCATGCCACATTCTGGCCATAAAATATCCAAAAATATCCGAAGGACGGTGTTCGCGTATATCTAAAATATGGGCTTTCTGCCAAGGAACAAATCACGGCAAAACTAGGATAACTTGACAATCAATATCCACATTTGCACACGGTACTAGTAGCAGACGATAAATACCGACCGTTAACAACAATTTTGAGCGTTTCTGCAGGCGATACTAGCAGATGATTTTAGCGACCGTTGACCAATTTGGAGACATTACAGATGATGAAAGCCGATTAGCAATACTGTGTTCTTCCGACTGGAGGATTTAGCAGCGGTAGATGTCAGACTTGTCGGCATGCGCCAAACGCGATTAAACTCATCGCCGAGCGTATCCCCTGCGCCGGGCGTAGCGGCGTGGATGGGGCTAAACTAGGTGCCTGGGACTCACGAGTACAGTAATTGGAAAAAGTTGCAGGAGATGCGGTAGCTGTCGCACGTGAGTCCCAGCCATTTAGTTTAGCCCCCATCCGCGGCACGGGGGATACGCTCGGCGGTGAGGCACACTCGCAGAAGCAGGTCGGCAAGTAATGTATTGCCGAGACCCTGTTTCGTTATCCGGAGTCAGCACATATATTTTTAATAGAACTGACTCGCATTCGCATATTTCTGGATATTTTCGAACGCCATCATATTAAAGCCGCTATTTTGGGGAATGATTTAAAGGAGAGCCATAATTTCTAACCTTGTCTCGAAGGGTTAAGTTGGCAGCTTTTCTCAGGCATCTCATTTCACAGGTTTTAATTTTATATAGGTTAGCCTTTCATAATGTGCAAGTCTGGCGCTGGTGGTAAACTGTTGGTATAAATATACTATTTATAATCTGTTTCTTGGCGCTCATACATATGTTTCCATGTCTTAATAACGACTACAATTTGTGTAACCTATTGATAAAGCAAACGTCTGTATCAATATCACAAGACTTGGTCAAACGCTGACGTGGTATTCTGTTATAGGAAAAAATCTGTTTCCACAAAAAGTGATCCTTCTTTTTCTTCTCTGTAGTATTCACTGTAAATTCTGGCTGAAAGTTGTGGTTTATGTTCACTTCTGGACTTTCGGCATGCACATCCATTTTAAATATCTAGCTTATTTATGTGCAGACTGTTGGTCCCTCACCTCTCAAGCAGATGCACTCTGACTTTGAAGGAAACAACACCTAATTAGTCACCTTTTACATCATGCTTGTTACGGAGGCAGTGCCTGCCTCTATTCTTCTTCTTGTCCACTAGTTGTAAGCTTCAGTGGAAAGTTCTTGCTGTTTATCTACCTGTAGACTCCAATCTTATTCCAGAACCTGAGTGTTGCGTGCACATCCGTTTTACAGATCTGGCCTATCTGTATGTAGACTGTTGGTTCCTAGCCTCTCAGGCAGGTGCCCTCGGACTTCGAGGAAGGCCCCAGTTAGCCGACTCTTATACGACATGCTTGTTGGGAAGGCAGTGTCTCCTTTTTCCCTCCAAAACGGAACCACACAAGCCAAATGGGAGAAACAGTGATTGAATATGAACTAATTAAAACTGTTTACTATTCACTTTGTTAACAATGGCAGATATACTGCAAAGAAACTCACCATTTTCTCCAGATTTGAGATTTTCTCTTTGGAGTGAACTGTGTTGTCTGTAATTTGTTGTCTGGTACTGAACTCATACTCAAGCTGCTTTTCTTTCTCCTTCAGCATAATCTCAGCCTTCTTTCTGTTGTCTGCTTCTACTTCCAACTTTCTCTGTGTCTGTCAAATACCAAGCATTCTCATTACTTCTACAAGAATAAGACAGTTTGAATTAATCAAAGAATAAGATAACATATATATGTATATATATATATATATAACAGAAAGTTCTTCTCCTGTCTTCACACTGAAAAAGGCGGCTGACACCTTGTATGTCGCCTTGTATGACATGCTTGTTGGGTAGGGAGGTGGAGGTTGATGGGTCTATTCTCCCCCCCCCCCCCAAATAGGGCCCAGAAACCATACAAGACAGAAGAAATATCACAAGACAACTGCACAAATATCATGCGTGCCTTACTCAGGGCTTCATGGAATGGCAACACTGTAATCTACAATGCAAGTCATGAGAGGTGACTTGACCCTATCACCCCAGAGTCAGACTGAAAAGAGGAAGGTCATGGATGGCGCACGATGAAGACACAATTAGACGTGTGCGGGCTTGACGAATTTGGGGGAGGGGATGAGCAAGTAAAGGTGCGTGAATAAGAACCAGAATTGTGTAGAGTTCTAATCACTTTAGGTTGCCAGTGGCCAGCTGATGAAGCAGAATCAGAAGTTCAACAAATTATTCCTAACAATTCCTGCCCAGTTCATGCAATTATCTATTCAGATGGCTATGTGTTGAGAGGAAGATGAAGTGCATAGTGGTTCACAGCAAAAACTAATTGATGTGCAAAAAAGCCTTGCATATGATATCACAACGTCTAGTTTAAGACTGGAGGTGGAGGCAGTCACTGCTGCCTTTTGCTGGCTTGAGAATCAGCTGTACACACATGTCGCAATTGTAACTGACTCACAGAGTTTGTTGAGAAAGGTGGAGACAGGCATGCTCCATGCAGAGTGGCAAGAATCGCTTCAGAAGTCACAGGTAGTTAGCATCATTTGGATACTATCTCCAGGTCAGCTGGTGTGTTGGGAAGGAGCAGGCGAATAGACTGTCCGGTTCTGCACTAGTTGGTGGTGAATAGATGTATTACAAGCTAGATGTAGACACAGGGTATTTTAAAATGGAAACTACAGATACAAACACACTAGAGGAGAAAGGTAAATTTGCAAAAATATATGACAGGGGAGAAGGTGCAAGAAAAGCACACACAAAAGGTTAATACAAGTACATTAATAATTATTAAGTACATTAATAGTACTGATATGGAAAAAAGAAAGGTAATAGGAGAGAATGTGAAGCATACAGAGGTATATCACTACTGAGTCACGTAGGAAAAATGTACGCCAAATTACTAGAACAAAGAGTTAGACCCATAGCAGAACAACAACTGAGTGCATCACAATTCGGTTTCAGAAAAGGCAGAGAATGCACAGATGCATTATTCACTCTGAGGCAAGTGTGTGAGAAAGCCATTGAGTATAATACCAAACAGAATATTGTGTTTATAGATCAGGAAAAAGCTTTTGATAGAGTGGAAAGAAACAAACTGTGGTCTGTTCTTGAGAATTATGGGGTACAAGGACAGTTACCAGAGAACATCATAGCCATGTACCACACAAGCCAAAGTGCAGTAAAAACACACGAAGGCATATCAGATATGTTCACAGTCAACACAGGTGTGAGACAGTGATGTGTGCTCTTCCCACTTTTATTTATCATCTATATAGACAGAATATCTAAAGAAGCAAGTTATGATACAGACAACATAGACCTTTATAATCATGAGGAAGTACATACATCAGGAGAAGTAATCGATTCACCCACATTAAACAAACTACTGTTTGCCGACGACCAGTGCTTGTTCTACCCTGAAGAACAGAGACTGCAAGACCACATTAACAGTAAATATAGTAAATACAACATGAAGATCAATGTAAACAAAACTGAAACAATGCAAGTTAGTAGACATTCTGCCCCACTACACATACAGCTGAATGGTTCTGCCCTGAATCAAGTTAGGGAGTTTAAATATCTAGGAAGTATGATCACAGAAGATGGTAGAATTGACAGAGAAATAGAAACCAGATGTCAGAAAGCAAGTGCACTTATATACCAATTGTCACCATTATTAACCCACTGACTACCAGCGTCGCACGTAATGCGACGAGGCGACGTTTACTTCCTTCTGCCAACGTCACACCCTTTGCGATTTTAGCTTTGGACGCTTGCCGTCATGTTAAAATTGTGATTTTTATGATGGATTTAGTTGAAACCTCTAGCTTATTCATTTCTGTATGGTTAATTAAGGGAAATAACTTCGTAGTGCTTCAAGTAAATATTTGACGAATTTTTTTAGTTAGCTCCCATGACGGTGAGACATTGATGAAAATTCATCATGGCGTCAAATTATTGGAACCATCGTGGTGGCCATATCTCTCCTAATTTTTCTAATGATGCATTCGATTTTCTTGATTTTGCTTCAAAAAGTGAATTTGAAGACACTTCTGAACAGTTTGATGGCTATGACTATAATAAATTTAACGAAGTGCCATTCAAAACATCGTCGACTGTAAAACGACAGTGTGAAGCTTCGAAGTCAAGTCTGACAAAAACAGTGTTGTCGGCTGCAAGTACTGGTGCCCCAGTTTATGATGCTGATAGTTCTTGTAAGAGTATTCAGTCAAAGCCCACAGATTATAAAGATTTTGTGCGTGAGTCTGCACATGACGAAGATATCATTGCCGCTTTTGATTCATAATCATCATCATCTAACGAGTCCGGAGAAGATGTGCCACGCCCCCAAATGGTTGATGACTGGCATTGTGATTTAGAAGGCTTTCCTGGAGTACCCCCATTTACTGGCACTTTTGGTTTATTTCTGCCAGCAGGAACAAATGAACCACTGAATATTTTCTTCAGTAAAGAAATTTTGGCTGTGTTTGCTAAAGAAACAAACCGTTATGCTGAGGCAAAGATTGGTGCGAAACCAGACACCTGTTTTCCCAAGAACTGGAAACACACAACCCCAAATGAAATAACATGGTTTCTTGTACTGTTGCGTCACATGTGATGTGAAAAAGCCGTCTATTTCAGACTACCGGAGTCTATATATTCATCTATCCACTCATTATTTGCTGCCACCATCACGTCACGGGGGCGTTTTCTATATATTGTTGTCAGATAACAGATTTGTCTGTTGCCTTTTCAGCACCATATCTACAGCCACATGATGATGATATAAAACAGTAAATCTACATATGTCTTGATATTTGTTATCTATTTAATTTGGTGCAAACAATATCAGATAGGATAAGTGATATTGAACAGTTGTGAAGCTGTGACATTTTTTGGGAGTCTGAATTATTGTCAGATAAAGGATTTTTCAGTTGCCTTTTTTGCAACAATCTACAGCCACATGATGATGATGATTATGGCAGACAAAGTAAACCCCATTTTTTGTCTTCACATTGTTCTCGGTTCAATTTTGTGCAAAAATACAAAATGTAATATATGTTTGTTGAATATTTTTGAAAAGAAAATCATCACTATCAGTCTTTATTGTTGTCAGATAAAAGATTTTCAGTTGCCTTTTTTGCAACAATCTACAGCCACATGATGATGATGACTATGTCAGAGTAAACCTTATTTTTATTTTCTTTAAATGGGTTCTTGGTTTAATTTTGTGCAAAAAATACAAAATATTATACATTTTTGTTAAATATTTTTCGAAAATAAGACATTTTTATTAGTCTTTATTGTTGTCAGATAAAAGATTTTTTTTCGGTTGCCTTTTTTTGCACTAATCTACAGCCACATGATGATGATGCAAAACAAATTAAACAGCTTTTTTTTCTTAAAATTTGTTCTTCATTCAGTTTGGTGCAAAAATACAAAATATTGTGAGATTATATCAAATAGTTGTGAAGCTATGGCATTTTTAGTAAACACTAAAATACGTGGTATCTGGGGAAATGCAAGGGTTAATGGGCTTGGTAGTCAGTGGGTTAAGAGACATCCAAGCATAACTATGAGTGCAAAGAGACAGATTATTAATAGCATATTTATTCCAACATTAAGCTACCAGTGCCAAACATGGACACCATCTAAAGCCCATATACGCAAAATTACCACCTGCGAGATGAGGTGCCTGAGAAAAGCAGCCAACCTAACCATACGAGATCGAGTGAATAATGAAACTATTAGGCAAATTGTGGGAACGACACCTTGTACTAGATTCATCGAGAAACAGCAGATCAAGTGGTTTGGCCATCTCGTTAGAGTGCAGCAAGATCAAATACCATCACAAGCACTACATCTCAGAAGATCAACTACAAGAGCAAGAGGACGGCCGCGAAAAATATGGATCAACAACATTAAAGACACTCTACGCCTTCATGGCATGACAATAGCCAGTGGCAGCCAACGTGCACTGGATCGCAAATTATTCCTCCCCACGACGTTTAACAGCAGAAGTGGTTTATGAAGATGATGACAAAAGGTTAACAATACTTCTTACCTCTTTCAAATCATGCTTTGCGTACACAATGTTTCGTTCATATTCCACACTCTCCAGCTTCAGCATTGAATACTCCTGTGAGAGGCGGTCCAGTTCTTCAGTTTTCAGCCTAAATAAACAAGAAATTATAGCTTCAAACAAGTCTACAAGGATACCGAAGATAATACCAGACTTATACATAAAAAGCTTTCAAGAAAAGCATTCACCCGCTGTGAACTCCAGGGAAATCTTCTGGTCACTGGCTGCAAACTCTGGGGAAAAGTTCTGGTTGTTCGTCACTTCACTATGGGTCTTTAAATCTGTCAGACCGCTGTACTGCTTTTCTGGTAATGTCTTAATCTGCTGCTAAACCGCTGTACCTAACTTTTGGTACTTCACGTACTATTTGATAAAATGCGTCACAACTAATAATAACCAACCAATCGTGATCAAACCTCGTGGTTAGTCATTGCGAATGACTGCACACGTGTTTGGATTTACTTTGTGTGGTTTAACATGAAAATTCTGAAAATTTACAATGAAACGAGCGGCTGATGAACTAAGCACTTCTACAGGAAAGTGAAGTAGGTCTAGGTTTTTCACAGTCAAACAGGTGATCAATACTTTGGTTGGTTCAGACTCTGAGGAGTCAGAATTTCAAGAAGAATATGTGCCCAGTTGAAGTGACACAGTCAGTGAGAGCTCGAGTTATGAGGAGAATCTGGGAAATTATGGATTTAAAACTAGATTGATAGTAAGAGAAAGGGGTGTGTCCCTCAAACAGCAACATATGGTGCTCACTTTGTAAAACAAGGCTGATCCTGCTGGGTGGGTTGGCAAACAAAGGTGGAATATTGGCACTAGATGAAAGGTAAACCTATTTTCTACAATGCCTCAAAGTTTCATCTTATTCTAACCACTTGTTTGCATGTAACTAATATTTTTGTATATCATGTTGGTTTTTCTGTGTTAATGCCCAGGAGCTCAAGTATAGAGGACAGTTGGGTTCAGGGCCTCAGGTCTGGTAGAGTTAATCCTATTCCAGAACTTGAGTTTTGCATCACACAAATTTTACAGGCCTGGCTTATTTGTCTGCAGACTGTTGGTTCCTCTAATCTCTGACAGATACACTGCGACTGCGAAGGAAACATCTCTAATTAGTTATCTTTTATGACATGCTTGTTGGAGACGGTGGGTCTCTTCCTTTTTTAAGTTTCTCTCCAGAGCTGGGTCCCAGAACCCACATGGGGAGAGGAGATGTCTGAATGACTCATTCATGAAGAGATGTGGTAGCAATGACTAGCCCAAATGCCTGCTGGTCTAGTGTGGTAGCAATGACTAGCCCAAATGCCTGCTGGTCTAGTGGCGATGTGTTCAAATACTCAATCAAATCTATCTGGGTTCTCAGGTCGACCTAGCCTACATTAAGTTTGAAGAAATGTCCTGGGAAGTAACGATGGCTGGAATGATATGACCAGATCATCCATCAAGTGCCAAATGGTCTGTAAAAAGTATGTGGCTAGCACTAAATAGACACAGAAATGATACATCTACTAGTTACGTTCGCTAGAGGGTGATTCTATAGCACAGTGGCTAGCACACACAGCTGCCACTGCACTGGTCACTGAGATTCTCACCTGAAAATGATTATCTCCGTGTGGGTACCGGTTCCCCATAGTGGGGGAGGGGGAGGGGGGAGGGGGTTATACCTACTGCCTCCCCAAAAAGCATGTCATAAGAGTCAATTAGGGGTTTCCTTCAAAGTTGGAGTGCATATGTCTCAAATGCAAGGAACCAACAGGCTGTACATAAATAAGCCAGATCTGTAAAATGGATATGTATGCAAAACTCAACTTCTTGAATAAGATTAAAGTCCAGAAGTGTACCCTTTTAGGATAGGTCGACGTAGAAGTTTAAGTAAATTTTAAAGTTCACCTTAATGTGGACTTAGTGGAGCAATGTGGAACCACGGCTTCCATTCTTTGTATCATCGTATCTAAAAATTCCTAGAGAGATGAAGCATCAATGAGCTTACAAAAGCGCTCAACCAATCTAATACAAAATTAAAAGCTTACTGGCATTTTTTATCCAATTCTTCCTTGCTCGCTCTTAAGTTTCTGCTTTCTTCTTTTAACAGTCTGATTTCTTCCTCTAATCTGCTCACTGAGGAATTATCACTCTGCTAAAAAAAAAAAACACAGCTTACAGTATAAATGCACAGTGGTTACAATAGTAAATTGTTAGACACACTATCTCTCATGCCACACGTTCATTATCATCCTCTTTTGTGCGTTGCTATATGTCACATAGGGCTTGCAGTCGATTCCTCCACTTTGCTCTATTGCATGCAACTCTTTTGATTTCTGACACGGAGTTCAACCTAGCATTTTTAGCTTTTTCTTCTTAATGTTTCCCTTGGACATCCTCTTGTTTTTCAGACAGTTTGTTCCCCATTTCAGTGCTTCATTTGTAATTTTTTGCTCATTTCGTCTCAGAGTGTGCCCAATATATCTCCATCTTCTTTCTTTAATTGTAGTTGATATAGGTATTTGTCCAGACATTTCTCTGGTCTCATTTTTGTTTCAATTCATCCCCCGTTTAGGTTCATGATTGTTCTCAGATATTTATTTTAAAATGCCACATGTGCCAAACTTAAGAAGAGTATTTAGTGGAATTAATGCTGTTGTAAGTGGGGGGGGGGGGGGGGGGGGGGGGGGGGGGAGAGAGAACATGAGAAAATGACTAAGACAAGCAGTTATCAACTATATATATTAATAAACAGCCTGCCTGCTGCCACCCTTCCATGACATGATGAAAGGCTGTCAGGTATCTTCTCCCACTGTCATTCTCTATCTCTGTATACATACATATCTTTCCAGATCTCACACACAGGTTCCAGTTTCTCTTCTCATTATATCATAAAATGGCCCCCAAAAAATAATGAATACATTTTGAATGCACTTCATTATTCTTATACCTGTCCTTACATGTGTAAGAGAAAATAATTATTATTGGTTAACCTTTTGGATTTTTTTTCTAGGACATTCGCAGGGTCATGAGCAGGCTGACAGACTGGTTGCTGCCACTCCTCAAGGTGGTGAGCTACGTTATGATAAAGCCGAAGTGGTGAAGGCTCTCTCTGGGATCAAGTGGACAGTGTAAAAGAATAGGCAGAGTATCCATACACTGACAGATTAATTCACCGGGGTGGGGGGGAGGGGGGGTTGAAGATACACCTGTGGGTTAAACAGGCGGACTTTTAATCAGGTTGCAACAGGCACTTCTAGCACATTGACTCTTCGCTGGCCTCTGGATAAGAAAATGGAGCAAGTGTGGGAATGTCCCCGAGTGCAGGGATGTCAATTCTTGATTCATTCATTCATTCAATATAATCAAAAGAAACAGAAGGTAACAACACTGTTGCACAGTTAAGTATGAGATATGTGGTTCCTGGAAGATGAAAGTGGAGGAGGAAAAGCGGCAGGACGCCAAAGATGCTGACACCACTGTTGACGAAGAAAAGAAGATGTATGAGATATAAATGTACAGCAGAAGGTGGCAAGTGATGCCTATGAATCTGCCGATCTTCTGTGGTGGGGAAAGTAAATGGTAACACTGTGTGACCTAGCACAGTTTAAGCTTCAATACAGCGATTTCAACATTTCAATATTAAAAGAAATAAAACTTACCGGCCGACTTGGTGGACTACCACTTATCTGCAGTAAACTGAAACGAAAATTAGACATAAACTTTCGTCAGTCTGTTCTTGAATATGTATGTTATTCTATACCTAAAGAACAGAATCAGAACTATGTACAGAATTGCTTATATTTTAAAAGAAGAAGAAAAATGCACACAGTCTATTAGACACTGATAGATGACATTAACAATACATACAACCAAATGCTACAGACTGTGTAACTTAAAAATAAAAGACAATACAATTCAATTCAGCACAGCAAAGATATTGACCTCAAAAGACAAATCAGGTTTACAAGAAGTTCAAAACACTAAAATTTCAGACAACAAGAATAATTAATCCTTTTTTTTTTGTGTTCAAGCTTTAAAAGGGCAAGTTGGCACATGGTGTTGTGTTTTATAGTTTTGCTGTATCTGTGCCTTTCAGCCCAAAACATCTGATTTCAGCAAAACCTTCATTAGTTGCCTTGACAATATGCTTGTAGGGGGTAATAGATCTATTCTTGGTTACTTTAAATAAGGCTTCTGAACTCACATGGGGAGAATAATTACTTCACAACATTAAGTCAGGTTAGCAAGAAAAAACTATGTTCACCAATCTAAATCAGATCTAAAAGTACAATCAGTTTAGCATACTATCACCATACCAGTAATTAAAAAAATAGTAACAGTATTTTACATTTCAACAGAAACTGAATCCTACCCGCATTCTCTGCTGTATGTAAAACCGATAAAAGGCAGGTGATTGCCAGCAAAAGCTTTAGGAGACTGGAACGTTTCTTCTGGAGCCTCGTCTTTTTCGATTTCGTCAAAATTACTTGTGTCCACATCGCTAGACAGTTCAGGCACTACTGGAGGTACAGCTGAGAGTATGAAAGAACAAATATGTTATGAAATGACACAAAGGGTTACAGTGATACCATGCCAGGTATGACTCTAGTAGTGTGAAGTGATACTTCATTGATCAATCAATCAACCAGGTGCATAATCTACACAACAATGGTTGGTTTCAACAGATCTCCAACACTACCACCCTTGTTGTATGAGTTACAACACTGTCTCTCACCTTTATCATATGAGGGGTAACAACACTGTCTCTCACCTTTATTGCATGAGGGGTAACAACACTGTCTCTCACCTTTATTGTATAAGGGGTAACAACACTGTCTCTCGCCCTTACTGCATGAGGGCTAACAACACGGTCACTCACTTTTACTGCATGAGGGGTAACAACATTGTCTCTCACCTTTTTTACATGAGGGGTAACAACATTGTCTTTCACCCTTACAGCATGAGGGGTAACAACATTGTCCCTCACCCTTACCGCATGAGGAGTAACAACACTGTCTCTCACCTTTACTGCATGAAGGGTAACAACACTGTCTCTCACCTTTTTTGCATGAGGGGTAACAACACTGTCTCTCACCCTTACCGCATGAGGGGTAACAACATTGTCTCTCACCTTTACTGCATGAGGGGTAACAACACTGTCTCTCACCCTTACTGCATGAGGGGTAACAACACTGTCTCTCACCTTTACTGCATGAGGGGTAACAACACTGTCTCTCACCCTTACTGCATGAGGGGTAACAACACTGTCTCTCGCCCTTACCGCATGAGGGGTAACAACACTGTCTCTCACCCTTACCGCATGAGGGGTAACAACACTGTCTCTCGCCCTTACCGCATGAGGGGTAACAACATTGTCTCTCACCCTTACTGCATGAGGGGTAACAACACTGTCTCTCACCCTTACCGCATGAGGGGTAACAACATTGTCCCTCACCCTTACCGCATGAGGGGTAACAACATTGTCCCTCACCCTTACCGCATGAGGGGTAACAACACTACCTCTCATCTTTACTGTATGAAAGGTATTTAGGAAATAATACACAGCATTTGATTTTTTTTTTTTTTTAGTGACAAATGAAGACAGGAACATAAAATTGTGTGCACTGCAAATTTTAAATGTCCCCAGTGTATGTAGAAATTAGCAATTTATTTAGACAAAAAATAACACTAATCCTTTAACCTAGAGGGTGGGGATAATGTGCATTACAAACAGCGAACTGTAAAATGTTTGGCTGCAGAAAAAAAAACTGTTTGTGACTATTCATTACATGTTTGTGTGCTGTGTATGGAAGTTGTGCAGGGTTTTAAAATTTTTTTCCACTTTTACACCATCAAAATAATGAGAAATACAATCATCAAATACAAGAAGAAATGCCACCATACAAAACAAACAAAAAGACAAAACAAAACAAACAAACCAAAAAAGTTGGTAGCGTGTCTTTTACAGGACATTGCAGTGCAAACCCCAGCACTTTTGTTTTAGCTGTTTGTGATTTCACGAGGTAATTTTACATTCTGGGAGAAAATCAGCCACCATGGCAGACATGTGAGACTAAAAACCTGGGAACCGGACCACCAGGGAAACCCAGGGTCCGCTGGGAAGACAACATCTGACGGTCGCTGACTGACAGAGGTCTGGAATGGAACAAAGCCACAAAAAAAGCTGCTGATAGAGAAGTCTGGCAATCTCTGGCAAACCTCTACACCCCAAGGTAGAAAAGAAGCGACTAAGTAAATAATTTTACATTCAGTAGTTTGCAACTGCTTTCTAAACAGTCAGTTCTCAATATCACTGTTGAAACCAACACTAGGTCAGCAGCTCGGATGAACCTGGCACCTCGGAATTACGGAAGTGTATTCACAATGCCGAGGCCATTGATGCCAACAAAAGAAGATGCACAACTCACACACATATACTCCAAAAAGATCATATGTCCTTTCTATATTTTACTCACTCTGGCGAATGTTTTCCCAGGTCCACGTATCATTTCTGAAAAATGGATGCCGCTTAATCTCTTCAACGCCATTTCTCCCTAATCTCTCTGTTCTGTTTAAAGAAAAGACACAAATAAAATAGTACAAACTGCTCTTAGACGGAAGGAAAAAAAAGGCTAAACACTTCAACAGTTATGCACAAATGGCGTCTGTGTTTGTTTACTATTAATCGTTTCCACATGACTTTTGCCAGTGACACAAACTGACTTTCTGATGAAAATCAGAAACATCATTTTGAAACATGGCAATTTACAGAGGGAGAAAAAATTGTTATATGCAAAGGGAGCCACACCAACTGGTACAAAGGTTCTGGCAGATTCGGGGAGAAAAATCAACTTAGCTCCAAGGTCAACCCAGCCTACAACTGGTTCCCGGAAATATCCAAGAAAGTCAAGGTGACCATCATGATTTTAATATAAGCCCCCAGGAGCTGCCACAACGGCTAATTACTGCCTTTATTAGTCGACTCCCTGCGACACGCTTGTTGAGGAGGCTGTGAGTCTATGCTTGTTTTCCCCACAATGGGGCTCCGGAATGCATACAGCCATTATATGATTCTAACATTTATGAATTGTAAAACGTTCTTCACTGTTACTTTTACAAAGACTGAGGTCCATGGCAGACTTGAACAATAAGATGAGTTCACAGGTCTTAGCTAACTGGCAACCACTGATCTAAAGAATAGACTCAATCATGTGGTTACAGAGCCTAGCACAACTCTGTTGTTCTTCTTCATCTTTCTTTCATTAGTGATTAGAAAGGATTATCATTACAGCACTCCAGACAGATCCACAGGTGCTCCGATCTCCTCCTCAAAAAACTCCACAAGTGTAAAACGACCGATGATGCCTGTTTTGTGTTGGTTAATGAAACGCCTTGTCCCCTTAGTGAAATGTTCATTTCTTGCAGCTCCAGGCTGCACCCCCATGTCCATCAGTCTAGACAGGGATACAGAGTCATGTCCTTTAAAGTGCTCCTCCATACGGTAAGTGCAGCGCATGGCATTGATAACATTACTTCTGTGCAGTACTGGACCAGCCATAACAACCACAGTGTCAGCAAGATAGTCTGCACGCTCGTTTCCTTGAACACCCGCATGAAATGGCTCAAATATGAAGGTTAGGGCAGCCATTCTTTTATTGTTCATTGTGGCAGCAAGTTTGTGTGGAAAGTTCTCGTTGTTCGTCCATTTGGACTCTAGCTTTGTGCCAGGGCCTGAGTTTTGCATGTACACCTGTTTTACTGACTTATTTGTGTGAAGCTGGCTGTTCCTTGCAGCTCGGGTAGATGCACTCCGACTTCTAAGGAAGCCACCCAATTAGTCAACTCCCTATGACATGCTTGCTGATGAGGCAGTGGCTCTATTCTTCTCCATTCAGATCCAACATGGGGAAATTCTGTTATTCGATGAAGTATTGAAATAAGTAGCTATAAAATAAAAGGACTTTTTTTCAAAAATGACCTTGGCTTCCTGGTCGACCCAGCCTTGGATGGGTACCAGGTACAGTCCTAGAAAGTAGAGGCAGCGAGCGTGATGTTGACAAAATCACACAACGAGTGCCAACTGGTCTGTAAAAAAATAGATCTAGCTCTATATGTCCAATACACCTTTAAATAATAGACATTTAAAGATATGATCAAACATGTATTTCAAAAACATGTATTTATCTAAACAATTCAAATAGAAAACAAGCATAAGAAAGGGTCTCTGTTACCTATCTGTAAGAAAGGCACATATAAGATCTTTTGCTTTGTCTGACATTTCTATGTCTGTTGGGAAATTCAGGGAGCGTTTGTGATCCATGATTTTGCCATAGGTTCCCACCAGGGAGTCTGCATAAAATGGAGTGTCACCTGAAAGCAAAGATCAATTAGACAACTTTACAAAATATGAATCTTTTAAAACTCATTTCACCAATAGTGAATGTATATCTTTGCTAGCTGCTTCACCAGAGACTTATTCAGTGTGCACTGTTCAGAACAAAACAAACAAACAAAAATACATGCCTGTGCCTCAAAAAGACTTATTCAATGTGCTCTGTTTATAGCAAATAAGAACATATGATGCCTATGCTTGTTACTCCCCCCAAAGACTTATTTAAAGTGTATTGTGTAAAACAATTACATACAGTGGAACCTTGGTTCTCAAACTGAATTAATTCTTCAAAGTTGATTGGAAACAGTCCTAACACTGAAATTTGTTCCCCCATGAGAATAAATGGTCCAACGATTAAAATGTTTCTTATTTCAGATGATTGTTTATATACTGTAACCACTATAACACCCATGCACCAGGACTACAGGTTACTTTGTAACCATTTTCAGATGTTCCTACACTAGCGTGCGGCAAAGGTAAAGGACCCCTGTCCACGCCTTTAGACATACTGGGCACATAGAGATAGATCTGTACTTTATAGACCGATCGGCACTCGATGGGTGATGTGGTCAGCATCACGCTGCCCGCCTTTACTTCCCAGAACTGTACCTGGTACCCACTCATAAGTGTGCGAATATAGCTACTCTGTTGAGTGAGGTTTCTGAGATTTGTACCTGTGTAATTCTCATCCTTGAGATGTTAATCCTACAGACTGCAAAAGTGGAGGAGGAAAACAACAAGTTATAATAGCAAGAGATGCTGCCCCAACGCCAGCTCTACCTCTGTCTTTGTTACACAGTCTGGTAAAAATGTTTTTCCAGGCTGAGTTCATAGTCCTGTAATTCACTAGCACCCGAGCTTTGGCGTGAATACTTAAAGACGCTGAGCTGGCTGCTGAAAATGAGGAAGGAGCAAGCATGGGAATGCCCTGAGTGCTGTGATGTCTCAACTCAACTCAACTCAACTTACAGATGGAGGATGTTGGAGTGATGTTTGTCCCCCTCACATTTCTGTTAAATGTGTGTCAGAAATCATTTTAAAACATCTGTGAAACTGCTTTGGTGTAGAGTTTCTTAAAGTTCACAATGAGCTGCTTGTCCATGGGCAGAATTTACAGAAGCCATATTTGGAGCAGGAACTTTACTGGTAAAATCAAATTTCTCTCTCAGCTCATCTACCATGCAGACTTCCATTTTCAAGACGGCGACGAGCAGCTATGTGATTTTTCGCTGGCTGTGATTTCTCTCAGACTGTTCTGTTCCCTTATCGTTTCTAATGTTGGATGCATTGTATTTTTATGGGGGCAGGATGTATAGTGGCTGTGCTATGCCGAGGCTGGATGATGACTGACAGTTTTCATAGCTGCAGAGACACGGTTTTCACAAGGTTTTGATTGTGGTAGCCTACTTTCTGTGAAGACAGAATCTCATCAGCGGGAGACTGCAAACTGTCTAGAAAGCAAATTCAATAAAAGCTGCCCCCAGACATAAAAGGTGTCAGCCATTTATTGGTGGGGAGGAATCAAAGCATATGATTAATTTAAAAGCCATGGCCTTGGCCATCCACCAAGCCTGGAAGGTAAGCAAGAACATTTTCAAATAAAATCATGAAAATCTGATGTACAGTTGAGCAGGAGTTCGCACTGAACAAAAGTTGCTCTTTCTCCACAATCTTATCAGGAGAAGTACATAGTTTCACGACTGGGTGAGCAGGAACTAAGGTTCTGTTTGAAAACCAACACATCTTCCCTCCGAAAAATTTGTTTGAAACCTAAACTGTTCCAGAAGTGAGGTGTTCGAGAAGCAAAGTTCCACTGTTTATGTTTTTACTAACCACTCCCCAGAGACTTTTTAATAAGTTTGAGCTAATAACTGTTTCCAACTTCTTCAATGTGCATAGTTTACAACAAGTAAGAATATATGTATATCTGTGTTAGTTACACCCCTAGAAACTTATTAAATGTGCACTGCCTGGATAAGTGTTAGTCTATGAGTAATGTGGTCCCAGGACATTTCCTGATTTTAGGCTGACTGAAGCCTGGGTTCTTCTTCTCTTTGCATTCTATTTCGTATGCTCAGATCAGACTTGGTGGGTTGCCTCTATGAACTCGCATGTTAGCAGCAGGTCCTTCATGGTTGCCCATAGCTTGCTCTGCACACTCTGCTCTTGAGGTCAGATGTCTTTTCGAAGTTGTAGGTAGAGTGGGCAGGTCTGCAGAATGTGCTCAGGTGTTTGTGGCCCTGTTTGACAGGCACACTGTGGGAACTGTACACTCTTTATTTTATGCATGTGGTAGCTGAGCTTGCAGTGTCCTGTTCGTAGATGGAAAATTGGTGTATGTTGCTTTTTGATGAGTCTGCTGATGGGGGTCTTGTGGATGTTTACTGTTAGCCTAGGTTCAATTATCAAACTCTACATGTGGGATTCTAAAATCTTCGGGATGACAGGTAAGCGTATAGACATTCCCCTACCTTGGCTACCAAATAAATGGTATTAAGACAAGTTTTTAAAAATTGCTTAAATAGCCGCATTAACTCACCAACAAGCATCTCAAACAGGAAGACTCCTACTGACCACCAGTCACACTCTCGGCCGTAACACCCCTCACCACCTTGGGACTTGAGTACTTCAGGGGATATATAATCAGGTGTCCCAACTGCTGTGTCGGAGTGAACCAGTCCATCCTGCACACAATCATAGAAAAATCAATAGTTTTTAAATCATCATTATCATTTCTTTTCATTTAGTCCATATTCCAGACCTGTCCAACAGTGGAGACGAAACCAGTAGCTAAATTATTATTGGTACAGCTTGGGGCATCAGACACACAATCGTGATTACTACTATAGGGTGGAGACACTGCACTGGGGTGTTTTCTGCTGGAATATAGCAGCAACAAAAAGCAGTGATAGACCATCCACACATTAAGAATGAAATAGAGTTACAGCCAATCACCATAACGATATTGAGACATTTAGGTTCCAGGCTTTAAACTCGTCCTTGACAGCTCACATTTAAAGTGCCCGTCTGCTTACCTGGATAAAAATAAATTATGACCAGTCTCTAATTCTTCATGATGTAAACAACCCAAACAATGAGATTTATACAAGAACTAACCCAAACAATGAGATTTATACAAGAACTAACCCAAACAATGAGATTTATACAAGAACTAACCCAAACAATGAGATTTATACAAGAACTAACCCAAACAATGAGATTTATACAAGAACTAACCCAAACAATGAGATTTAAACAAGAACTAGCCCAAACAATGAGATTTATATAAGAACTAACCTAAACAATGAGATTTATACAAGAACTAACCCAAACAATGAGATTTATATAAGAACGAAAGTTCTACCTTGTCCATCCTCATACAGGTCCCAAAATCTGTCAGCTTGAGATGACCAGTTGCATCCAGCAACATATTATCTGGCTTGACATCCCTGAAACAATGTTTGCGGTATTAGAAAAACAAATACAAGAAATATCTGGAAAAATTGAGTAATTTTACAAAATATGATTATTCTGCATGGAAAATGGCTGACTGGCTTGTAAGACGGGCACAGTACATGAAAGTACATGAGGCGGGAGAGCTGGCGAGAGAGCAAGTTTCTTTCAGGCAGACTGTGATGAGAGCGACTTTCTGCAAAGGACCTGATACATGATGATGATTATTATTCATGCTTGGAAAATGGCAGAATGGCTTGTATTCAGTGTTTTTTCATAACTGAAATACTTCACCTATGTTTAATGTCTTCCCCATGTGGGTTCTGGGGCCCCATTGTAGGGGGTAGGAGAAAAAGAAACAAACCCACTGCCTCCCTAACAAGCATGTCATAAAAGTCCACTAATTAGTGAAAATGGAGTGTAACTCCTAAGAGGTAAGGAACCAACAGCCTGCATTCAAATAAGCCTGTTCTGTAAATTGGATGTGCACATAAAACAAAGACTCTGCAACAAGACTTAAGTCCAGAAGTGGACAAACAACCAGAATTTTCGGCCAGAGTTAAGACCCAGTGAACGCAAAGAAAAAGAAGAAGTTTAATGCCTGAACTGTTTAGAAAACAGTAATGAAGGGTATGGTTCCTAGAAGAAGTTTAATGCCTGAATTGTTTAGTTTAATGAAGGGTATGGTTCCTAGAAGAGGAAAGGAATAAACAGCAAACTGGTAGACACAAGGACACCCTGGGCATGAAAGGTCAGGTGCCGGGAAAGATAGCATTTGGCTGAGTGGTTTTCTGGCTTGATGTGATGTGACGGAGGTTCTGCAAAGGACCTACTACACAATGATGATGACAACTGACAATGATATGGAGTAGTTACCTAGTATGTAATAATTTCTTTTAACTCTTTCAGTACCAGGAGTCAGTTAGTTATAAATCAGTGCATGGTACAAAGAGATGAAGGCTGTAATATCATGTTTCCAGATCTTAAATTAATTTTCACCCCAAAAGAAGACATACTCAGTGATTATTTTCAGGGGAAATAAAATACCAGATAAAATACTAGATCAGTGAGTAACAGTCAGTTATTTACAACCCACCCCCCACAACTCCCTCCAGGTAGTATTTCAGATCTCTTTCATGTGTTTGTGCCCTTAGGGAAAGCAAATCCCAGATGATGTCATCTAGATACTGTCAACTGATGTTTTCTAGATGTTTTCAACTGATGATGTCAATCTAGGTAAAGTAAGTCATCTCATCTAGATCAGCGGTTCTCAAAATGGGTGTTACGGCACCCAGGGGTGCCACGAGCGTATGCCAGGGGTGCCGCAGCAGTAATCAAGAATTTTTCAAAATCTACTTGAGATCAGAGAAGACAAAAGTTTAACCAGAAATACCACGAAGGAAGCCCAGAAGAGATCTGGATGCAGGTGTATTCAGAAAACAATGCTACAGGCAAGGCTGCAGTGCATTCTCAACATAGACTTACATTAAAAAACAGACACAGGAGCAATCTTCAAGTGATATAAATAAAGGAAATAATGAAAATTCACTCAAACATTTCATTCATTGTAGTAAAGACAACTGAACATTAAATTTGCAATGCTTTTTTTCTTCTTTATCTAAGTATTAAAATTGCTTTAAGGGTAGGTGTGCAGCGAAAAAAATGATTGCCCAACAAGCGAAAAAAGATGATGAGAATTTTTAGTGAAATCACCTAGAAAATATAATCAATGGGTTTAGAGGGCACTAATATAGGGAAAACAAGAACAGACCCACTGCCAGCCCAAAAGCATGTCGTAAGAGTCGACTAATTGGGAGCTACCTTCGAAGACGGAGTGCATCTGCCTGAGAGGCAAGGAACCAACAGTCTGCATACAAATCATTCAGATCTGTCAAACGGATGCATACGCAACACTCAGGTTCTGGAATAGGACTGCATCCAGAAGTGGACGAACAACCAGAATTTTCCGCTGGAGTCTACAGCCGGTGAACGCGAAGAAGAAGAAAATGTATCTGAAATTTAGCAGTGCCAATGGTTACCTATGTACAAATCCCATGGAGTGGATGGCATTAAGAGCCAGCACAACTTCTGCACAGTAAAATTTGGCCCACTTCTCAGGCACATCATAATTGCTCATCAGGTTCACAAGGTCTCCACCAGGCATGTAGTCCATAACCATGTAGAGAAACTTGCTATTTTGGAATGCAAAGTGCAACTGAGGAGAGAAAGAATACAGGCATACTGCAAGCTTAATCGTTTAAAAAATGTGGATGCCAAAACATGAATGGAAATGGTCAGAGAAATAAATTATGCAATGAGCTTATATTTTTTTTTTAACTCCCTATGTCCATTTCAGTCATTTGGTATATTCTTCTTATTTTCTTCAACTATCTAGCCCTACAAACACTGATATCTAGTCTTTCTGAGGTTTATGATGGCATGTTGTCTTTGGACAGTGGTCACCATTGGACAGTCGTCACCGCGCCTGTATAGCAGCTTTGTTGCTGGTTGCAACTGCATAGTGTGGTAGATATGATCATATTTAAAAAAAAAAAAAGTTTTAAATATTATTAGAAAAAAAATTTGTATTCATTTTCTCATAACAATTGTATGAAGACATCATAGTCAAGACATAGTAATATCAACAAACCCACAAATTTCTTGGTCAAAGGGAGTGGAGTGAAAGCAATTTTTTCTTTGCTCCGTTTATGTTTAGCAATCACATTCTTTACTAGACCATGCTTTTCTGGGCTGTTGGTTTTTTTTTTTTTTTTTGCAGGGTGTGAAAATTTAAAATAAATTTTTTTTTAGTGATTTGGGAGCCATGATGATGCAATTGATAGAGAAGGCTTGCTTATCTGCTCAGTGGTCATTCATTTCGACCCCTGAATATTTATAAACACTGACCAAGACTTCAAATTTCCTCTGCTTCTTTTTCTCTGCCTCTAGTTTCTCAGGGTACAATTACTGAGCATTATAAGAATGCATTTTTTTTCTTTTTTTACATAGAACCTGTTCTGCTGTATGGCAGCGAATCCTGGAATGTCAGTAAACAAATTAAGAAGAATTTGGAAGCAACAGAGATATTGTTTTCTGAGTCTAATGTTACGATGTTACGAATACCTTGGACAGCCAGAATAACTAAAAACAACTGTTTGAAAGAAGCTTATGATATTACATCTTTATATACAACAATAAGAATGAGACATACACTGTTCTTTGGCCACGTAATGAGAAGAGAGGCATAGGAAAACATTGCGACAACTGGAAAGATCAGTGGAAAGAGGGGTAGAGGCAGACCAAGAGAGATGATGCTGGATGGGCTGAAACAATAGTATGGAGGGATATCATCAAGAGAGCTGTTCCAGGCAACCAGAGATCGTGATCTGTGGAGATGCATGAACGCCAACGCCAACTGGCAAGGCACATGATGATGATGATTTTTAAGGAAATTTTGTAAACAGGTTTTGTTTTCCATTTCTTTTAATAATACCATTTTGACTCCAAGTCCCTCTGAAGCCTCTGTATTCTACTGCTTTCATTTCCATGACATCTGAATTATTCTCCTGTATATAACTACCTCTCCAGGGTCTCAATGGGATACTCCTAACTGGCTGTTCACTTTCCAGGTTTCTGCACTATGTTAAATGTTAATTTACTCTGAGGAATAATTATTTATGTAATGCCTACAACATTGTTATCACAAGTGTGTTCATTTCAACTACAGAATAATTATTTATATTATACAAACAACACAATTTTCAAACACAAATGCAGGCTTTTTTTTTAAAAATAATTCACATGTGATTCTGTTTTTAAACTAAGGGAACTTCTTCTTCTTCGCTGTAAATTCCGGCGGAAAGTTCTGGTTGTTCGTCCACTTCTGAACTCTAGTCCTGTTCCAGAACCTGAGTGTTGCGCGTACAACTGTTTCACAGGTCTGACTCATTTGCATGCAGACTGTTGGTTCCCTGCCTCTCAGGCAGATGTGCTCCAACTGTGAAGGAAGCTCCCAATTAGTCGACTCTAACGATATGTTTTTGGGCAGGTGTTTTCCCCCACAATGGAGCCCTGGAACCCACACGGGGGAAACCAAGGGAACAATACACTGGACAACTGTGATTCCACTGATAAAGGTAAAGTCGAGAGATGTGAACCAGCATCACTGCACATGGTTATAAACCATAAGTGCTCTGCCACCAGTGATTCCACTGATAAAGGTAAAGTCGAGAGATGTGAAACAGCATCACTGCACAAGGTTGTAAACCATAAGTGCTCTGCCACCAGTGATTCCACTGATAAAGGTATAGTCGAGAGATGTGAACCAGCATCACTGCACATGGTTATAAACCATAAGTGCTCTGTCAATAATGATTCCACTGATAAAGGTAAAGTCGAGAGATGTGAACCAGCATCACTGCACAAGGTTATAAACCATAAGTGCTCTGCCACCAGTGATTTGACTGATAAAGGTAAAGTCGAGAGATGTGAACCAGCATCACTGCACAAGGTTATAAACCATAAGTGCTCTGCCACCAGTGATTTCACTGATAAAGGTAAAGTCGAGAGATGTGAACCAGCATCACTGCACAAGGTTATAAACCATAAGTGCTCTGCCACCAATGATTCCACTGATAAAGGTAAAGTCGAGAGATGTGAACCAGCATCACTGCACAAGGTTATAAACCATAAGTGCTCTGCCACCAGTGATTCCAATGACCAGATCATTTACCCGACATGTAACAAGAAATCAAGAAACCCATGCAATCATTACCTGAACGATCCACTCACTGTTGGCATTAGCCATAATCTCTCTCTCTTCCCAGTAATATGCAGAATCAGATCTTTTCAACTAAAATGAAATAATACAGACTTCAATATTTTTTTTCTTAAAATTTTGAGTCAAGACAGCATATTAAGCTTTTAAGTCAAGACAACATATTAAGTTTTTGAGTCAAGACAACATATTAAGCTTTTGAGTCAAGACAACATATTAAGCTTTTGAGTCAAGATAACACATAAAGCTTTTGAGTCAAGACAACATATTAAGCTTTTGAGTCAAGATAGCACATAAAGCTTTTGAGTCAAAACAACATATTAAGCTTTTGAATCAAGACAACATATTAAGCTTTTGAGTATTAAGCTTTTCTTCTTCTTCTTTAGCGATCTCTGGTCATGCGCATAATCCACTGTGGGCCATAAACTGGAATGTCTTTTCAAGGTCTCTTAGATTTCCCCAAAGCTTAGTTGTCAGTTCTACTGGGTGTTGCCATATGTTGCTCCGCAGCTCCGCCAAGAGAGGACAGTATTAAGCTTTTGAGTCAAGACAACATATTAAGCTTTGGAGTCAAGACACCATATTAAGCTTTTGAGTCAAGACAACACATTAAGCTTTTGAGCCAAGACAGCATATTAAGCTTTGGAGTCAAGACACCATATTAAGCTTTTGAGTCAAGACAACACATTAAGCTTTTGAGTCAAGACAACATATTAAGCTTTGGAGTCAAGACACCATATTAAGCTTTTGAGTCAAGACAACACATTAAGCTTTTGAGTCAAGACAACATATTAAGCTTTGGAGTCAAGACACCATATTAAGCTTTTGAGTCAAGACAACACATTAAGCTTTTGAGCCAAGACAGCATATTAAGCTTTTGAGTCAAGACAACATATTAAGCTTTTGAGTCAAGACAACATATTAGGCTCTTACATCTGAAGTTAACACATACAGTAAAGGACCCTTTTCCATGCCTTCATGCATAAAGTGGGTATAAACTGCTAGATCCGTATGTTTACAGACAAACGGCACTGGGTGGGTGATGTGGTGAACACAATAAAACTGTCGTCACTTAGGTTGACCTAGAGGCCAAGATCAATTTTTTTTTTTTAAATTCCTGCTCCATCCGGATTTAAACCCACAACCTTTGGATATGCAAGTATGTCTACCATATATCACGGTGGCACCCAGTTAACACACACACACATTTGGTTTTATTAATTACACGAACATAAGGCAAGAATTCACTGGCCAGACTCTTTCATGAGAGCAGTAGTAGAGTGGTGGAAAGACCTGCCAGTCAGGGTCAACTGTACTGATTCACTGTTTTACCTTAGATAATAACCTTCTGCCTTAACAATGAACACAGTTCATGCTCCATGATATATCCTAATCACTCGAACCACAGCCTTCTCATCCAACACATATCATATCTTAAATTAGCTGCTTTTAGTAGAGGCAAACAACATGCAAAATAAAAATATTCAAGGTTTAAACAAAACAGTTGCACATTTTTACAAATCAACTCCAGCATTTGCTGGTTGTTTGTGGTTTTACCAGGCAATTTTACATCCAATAGTTTGTAACTGCTCAGAGCTCATTTAGGGACATTCTGGTGAGGCCAATACTAACCTTAATATAATTGTGTACCCCAGCAGTACAAGAAAAAGGAGAAGTATGACTGCCTATAAACAGTAGGGAAAACACTTGATGAGGTAGGTACACATGAATGCATCAAGAGAAATCTGGTTCTACAGTTGGCAAGACAATGAGGTATGCATGAATGGATCAGGAGACTAAAGTTTCTACAATGCCAGAAACTAACCAAAAAAATCACCACTTAAGTTATGATAAACAGTTCTGCCATGAGAAGGAGAGTTAGACATCTGGGAGCCTTAGGATTAGGAGCATTTTAATCAGGGTGAAAATAAAAGACTAGCTTTCAATATTTTTAAAAATCCTGTTAACATAAACAAATAAAAATTAAATATTATTCAATCACGATACTTTCTACATTTAGCTTTACTGACAATGCTGTTTACCTTTATCACAACCTGCCCAATCACCATTGCTAGACAAAGAATAGATTTTCAAGCACTTACCATTTCATACTTGCTAAGGAGTTTCATGGCAAAGACAGCCTTTGTTGCTTTATGTCGTACCTAGTAAGTAAAAATACATAAACATTCAAACTGGCTTAGACAGCAACGAACTTAGCATCTTGTTGTTGTACTTTTTATTACACAATAGAGCACACACAGCTTTAATTACAATCATATCAATTACCCTTTGGGAACAAGCAATGGAATCAGAGAAAGAAGATTATTATGGCCTGGAGAGATTGAGGCACCTGGTTGTAACCACAGGGTCTGGCCGGCGTACTACACTCAGAGCAAGGCAAGGCGGACATATAACCATATTGTGACGGGTACTATCAGTATTGGAACTCTGCATTGGCTGCTGAATATGAGGATGAAGTATCCGAGTGCTGTGATGTCAATTCTTGACTCAACTCAACTCAAATCAATTACCTAATTTTGTATTGTAAATTACTGTAATTAAATATCTATGGCAACTGTCCCAGAAAAGTCAACAGAATACACATGAATCAAATAAATAAGGTCTCTGCCAGGAGTGCCAACACAAACAGTCCACCACAAAGAAATGCAGGTTGTCTTTGATGGAAGCAGCAGTTACAACACATTAGAAGCTGCACACACAATACTGCATAAGAGTAAACCCGCTTCTGTGGAATCAGGTCATCTGCCATTTTCTGAATCTGCAGTTATCAACACAGACCACCATGGGTACAGCTGAAAAAGCATTAAGTGATCCCAGTGCTAAATTGTGGGGTAGGGGAAAAGGAAGTGGGGGGGGGGGGGATAAACACTCTGCCCTCCAACAAGCATGTTGTAAGAGTGGACTAATTAAGAATGTTTCTTTCAAAGTCACAGTGCATCTGCTTGAGAGGCAAGGAACCAACTGTCAGTATACAAATAAGCCAGATTTGTAAAATGGATATGCATGCAAAACTCAGGTTATGGAACAAGACTCAAACCAGAAGTGGATGAACAGCCAGAACTGTCCGCTGGAGTTTAAAAATGGTGATCGCAAAGAAAAAGAATACCACATTAAATTCACAGCTCACAAGGTCACATATGCACTCAATTCAGTAGCTGGGGAATGGGACTGTAATTTCAGCCCACATATGGGGGACACTGCAACACCAAACAGTGGCCTGATGCAAACAGCATGCCATAACCTCAACAGTTTGCCTGCATATCCACAATATTATTTAATGTCAAGCCCATCTTGCCAGGCTGGATGATACAGCTAATTCTTCCTAAGTAATGAGGTAGCCAGCCTCATACAAACACTCCTTGGTCACATTTTATGACACAATTAGTAAACTAGTCTCCAATCCCCAAGGAACTCTTCTACACACTGGCACAACCATTTTGACTAGACTCCAAGAATGTCAAGCTAAAAGAGGTGAACAAGACAAGATTACTATATAATCTAGAGCAGTAAACCACACAGAACCTGCAATGACAGCCACCATGTGCTGAGAGATACAATGAAGAAAAGATCTGAGCCTGCTGTTGTTCGTCCAAAACAAGTGATCAAGACTACTCTTTCTCTCATCCGCCATGAAGCTATAGTTGACCGACTTAGGCGATGATGAGCACTTATTGGCTGAATGCTTAGATGTGGTAATTGTCGACTCACAGAGCATGCTTTAGAAAACAGAAACTGCCATCTATTGCACAGGCTTGCACTGCTTGACAAGACTCAGATTAGGAGCATATACAGTGGAACCTCGCTTAAAGAACATAATTTGTTCCAGAATCATACTCGTTAAGCGAAACACTCGTTATGCGAAACAATTTTTTTCATACAAATAATGTAAAATACGATAATGTGTTCTGTGTCGAAAAAATGCTCACAAAATGCTATGTATAACGTTTATTCAAAGAAAATTATATCCATATTGTTAAGGAGAGTGAATCATCTTCATCTTTTTTTCAAACGCGGAAAGAACCCACCTGGAATGCGAATTCGATTTGCAGAAAAACAAGTTGAAATAATTATGATATATGGCTAAATATTTTTTTTTTACTATAAAGATGTTCAGAGACATCTGTTTTTGCCGACGCTTCAAAATTTGGCAAAAATGCTACACAGCATTATCATTAAATAAATTTGCAACGAGCATAGCTACTTTCTTATTAGGGTGATGCTTCTCAATGTAAGATGCAACAGTTTGCCATGCTTTCAGCATTTCTCTTATTTCGCCAGAGGATTGTTGCTTTTCTGTTACCTCCTCCTCCTCTGACAAACTTTTCCCCAAAACTTCTTGCTGTGAATGCAACTCCATAAGCTCTTGGGTGATCAGCTCTTGGCTGTGCTCTTCCACAAGCTCTTCGATATCACTGTTATCCACCTCCAATCCCATGAAAGTGGCTAAAGACACAATCTCGTTGACTACAGGTTCTATAGGTACTGTCTCGAACCCCTCACAAATCGACAAAGCTTATTCCAAGCAGAAGTCAGGGTTCTCTTGGTAACCCCTTCCCTCGCCTTGTCGATTATCTTGAGGCAGGCAACGATGTGGAAGTGGTTTTTCCAAAACTCTCTGAGAGTGAGGTTAGTCCCTTCAGTCACCTGAAAACAATGCTCGAAGAGTGCTTTAGTGTAGAGCTTCTTTAAGTTAGAAATAACTTGCTGGTCATGCGCTGGAGTAACGTAGTGGTATTTGGAGGCAGATACTGGATCTTGATGAACTTAATTCTTCAGAGAGGTCATCTTGTAGGCCTGGAGGATTCATGTACATATATCACAATATAACAAAAGTTTGAGAAAACGTGTGATCACAAGCGACACTACGATGCTACTGGAACGAGTGCTAAACACAGACTGATGTAACATGCGCACAATTCAGGACTTCTCTTCTCCTCGCCACTCATTATGCGAAACGTCGCTCGTTAAGCAGGTCATTTTTTTACAATTTGTTTTGCTCGTTATGCGAATTACTCGTTATGAGAGGTGCTCGTTAAGCGAGGTTCTACTGTAATAGATATTTCTGTCCAGGATATTCAGGTATGTGGGATAATGAGCAGACTGATAGACTGGCTGCTGCAGCATCTCTGGGTGATGAGTTCATGTGGGAACGTCCTAAATGCAAGGATGTCAATTCTTGATTCATTCATTCATCGTTAGGTGTGCAATAAAGATAACTTACTAATTTGACTTTGGGCCCTAGTAATACACAGAAAGTATTGCTAAAATTTATGATTTTTTTTTAAAATCAAAATTAATAACTTACTAGCTGTACTTCCCCAAATGCTCCTCTGCCGATAACTTTGACCACATCAAAGTCTGCTGCTTTCATGCGATTGTTCTTTATTAGCTCTACACTCCTTGCATCTGAAAGAAACATTTAGTCACATAATGCATTTTGTCAAGAAATATGAAATAACATTATCACTCAAATGCACAAATCAACCAGCACTGCTCGCAGAAGTTAACAACTCATTTGTATTCTACATACAATGTTACTGAATATATTGTAAAACATAGAATACGCTTACAATCATTAAGTATACATAGTTGCAAGTCTTCTAAAGGAACATACAAACAAACAAACAAACAGGAATTATTAGCGGTCTGTGATTTTACTAGACAATTTTATTATCAGTAGTTTGCCACTACTCTCTGAATGGTTCAATGTTCAAAAAATCATCAAAATCAATGCAAAGTGGCCTGCTGCCAAAGTGCCTACAGCTAAATCGAACTCAGTATGCTGGAATTAGGAAACTGCCATAGATACAACAAGTATACTTACATCGCTCTAAAAAATGCTCCACATTCTTAATTCTTTTTATTGCTGGGTGGTCTAAATCAGTGACAAAGGCTGTAATTCCATCCTATTAAATGAAAGACAGAGATATATGCAATATAAAATATACATACAACAATGTCTATCTGCATCAACAGCATCGACTTTAACCTTTAACTTTTAACCTTACAAGCTGACTGTTAGCAGCCCAATTGTGATTACATTTCTAGGAGCAACACCATACTTTTTTTTTAATCAGTAATCTTTTATTCACAAAAGAGAACAGATGATGATCCTGGCACTTTAAATTATAACAAACAAACAATTTTAAGAATAATTAATTCTATCTTTCTTGAACTCGTATACTGGGTTTCCATAGACGAAAATCATGTGAAAAACCGTGCAAAAACAGCATAATAATTCAAGATTTATAAAGACTGTTCGACCTTTTCGAACACGTTAATTCAAGCCATAAAATCTCCATAAAATTTTATGTTTTACCAAGGGCCATAATGGAAGTAAAGAATGGCAACACTGTAACCTAAAATGCAGGTCATAAGAGGAAGGGCTAAAAGTAACGTTAGTCTCCCCAGACCCCGCCCATATACACACTGGCTGGCTTCTGAGTGGTAGTTCCTGAGCCGTGTGCCCTTCACACAAGGTTATGGGGGGTGTTCCACAATGCCGTTGAAATCATGTGTTGTATATTTCAGCATGCCAGTGCTTTTAACACTCCAAAAACATGGAGAAACTGGCTCTAACAGAGCTCCCCTAGAGAGGGCTGCAACCTATGTCGCAGGCATTCGCTTTCTCGGAATGAAAACGTACAAGACATCACAGAAAGCAAGCAAAAGAGCAGGACACACCCATAACCTTCAAGAAAGCGACCAGGCCAACAAAATTGAGAATGAAAAGTGACTACTCTATTTGGGGAGACTAATGTGAACCTAACTGAGGAAGGTAAGAAAAGTGAATGAATGAATAAACAATTAAAGGATTGAGTGAGTGAGGGACATTGCCACATACACTCTTTCTACCTAAGTAGCCAAAAAAAAAGGAGTTCCCATAACGATGGCGTCAGCTGCAACCTAATTAGAAGCCTGCCTATGTTTCACTGACTGCTAATAATCATCCAGATCATCCAGGTTCAGTGTTAGGCTGGAAACTTTATGCCACTGAAAACTAGCTGCAAAATCTAACGAATCATGATTCCACCCAGAAAAGATGTCTTTTATGTGGTGTTCTCTAGACAACAGGACTGTTAGAGCTGAGGTCCCAGGTCTCACAACAGATGGTAGAAACGTCAACAAAGAGAGCAAACTGAAGTATTTGGGAATCACTTTTGACACGAGCCTGTCCTGTAAGGACCATGTGGAGATGGTTATGACAAGATGCCAAAAAGGACTTAGTGCACTTAAGACTATGGCTGCAATTGACATAGAGCAGAGAATGCTTTTCACACTATATCAGCACCTGATCCTGTCAGTGGTTGATTATAGACTAGGACTGCTTACTGTCTCAAATAGTCAGATGGATAAACTAGAGCGCATACAGGTGATTCTGGGTTGCACCAGAGACACCCCAGTGGTGTGTGTGCGATACATCCTTGGTTTGCTGACGGTTGCACATAGGCACAAGGTGCTGCAGGCAAAGTCATATCTCAGGGTAGCTGCAGACACAGACCACCCTCTGCATGAAGCTCTGGGCGCAGTTAAGGGTCAGCGGCTGATAAGAGGGAAATCATGGATGGCTCAGGCAGAAGACACAATCAGACAGGTTTGCGTCCTGGAGAACATTAGGCGAGGAGTGGAGTGGGTCAAGGTGCCAGCTGAACAGTCAGATTTGTTTAGAGTAATAATCACATTGAGCCGGGAGTGCAGAGAGTGGCCAGCAGGTGCCATGGAGGTGGAAATTCAGCAATTAATTGAAGATTATGTTCCCTCAGAGGATATGATTATTTATACAGACAGTTCAGTGTCAAAAGAAGTGCTTAGGATTTCTTAGCAAAAGATAATAGTCATGTAGTGCAGGAGAGCCTAGCATATGATACCACAATGGAGGTGGAGGCGGTCACTGCAGCTTTTCGCTGGTTAGAGAACACAACACACACACATGATTGTAACTGACTCAGAAAGCATGCTGAGGAAGGTCAAGACAGGCATGCTTATGCAGAGTGGCATGCTTCGCTGCGGAGGTCACTGGTGAGGAGTATTGTCTGGATCTTTTCTCTGGGAAACACTGGTGTGTTGGGAAATGAACAGGTGGACAGACTGGCTGGCTCTGGACAACTTGGTGGAACATTGATGCATGATAAGGCAGACATGGTTAGGGCCATGTGAGAGAGAGTACAATTCAGAGGAGCAAAAGGATCACCAGTCTGGTGAGATTGATGCAGGGGGGATTGACGAGGGGTTCTGGCTGATGCTCGACGCTTAGAGGAAAGGCAATACAGACGTTCAATTAGTATTGGAACTCTGCGCTGGCTGCTGAAGATGGGGAAGCACTTTTGGGAATGCCCTAAGTGCTGTGATGTCGGTTCTTGAATCAACTCAACTAATCATGATCTTGATATGAATTGATTCATGACACATTCTCCCTAAGAAGATAAATGGCAGAAGAAAAATAAGACCACTAAAAGCAGACTTTTTTTTAATTCAACTGGGCTCACATGTTGGTTCAGCTTAAAATGGGTACTAGGACAATACTCAGAAGTAAAGATTGCCTGGGTGATACTGACCACATTTCCCATTAAGTGCCAATTGTTCTTTACAAAATATGAGCTGATCACATAAACCAGAAAGGGGTCCTTTACTTTACTTTTTGCGTACGTAAATCTGGTTAATGACGATGAAACTGAAGCATAACTGCTGCCAAAAAGCAAAAATTAACACTTTATTTACTTACTAACAGTCCATCTACATGTATGGCAGAATTTGGATTCTTTAGACCCTCCTCCAACTCAGCGAGTCGGCGGCGATAATCAGGATCAGACATCACCATTTTTGGCTAATAGATGCTAAACAATTGCCAGATTTAGTGGTTCTGAATTTCCTGCAGAGATATAAATATACATATTTTTAACAATTGTTTGGATTATAAAATTAAGTCTTCTTATTCATGTTAACCAGCTGTAAACTTCAGTATAAAGTACTGGTTATTCACCCCTTTGTTTCAGGACGAGTGTTGCAGGCACACCCATTTTACAGATGTGGCTTATTTGTGTGCAGACTATTGGTTCCTTGCCTCTTAGACAGATGTATTTTGACTTCAAAGAAAATGGTGATCCTATCTTTGTTGGTCAGGTCCTGGTTTGCAACATGTTTCTAGAATGACCAGGGAGAGGTGTAGGCAGGTCTTGACCAGTATAAGCCCTGGTCCTGGTTTGGAACATGTTTCTAGAATGACCAGGGAGAGGTGTAGGCAGGTCTTAACCAGTATGAGCCCTGGTCCTGGTTTGCAACATGTTTCTAGAATGACCAGGGAGAGGTGTAGGCAGGTCTTGACCACTAGGAGCTGGGGTCCTGGTTTGGAACATGTTTCTAGAATGACCAGGGAGAGGTGTAGGCAGGTCTTAACCAGTATGAGCCCTGGTCCTGGTTTGGAACATGTTTCTAGAATGACCAGGGAGAGGTGTAGGCAGGTCTTAACCAGTATGAGCCCTGGTCGTGGTTTGGAACATGTTTCTAGAATGACCAGGGAGAGGTGTAGGTAGGTCTTGACCACTAGGAGCTGGGGTCCTGGTTTGGAACATGTTTCTAGAATGACCAGGGAGAGGTGTAGGCAGGTCTTGACCAGTATGAGCCCTGGTCCTGGTTTGGAACATGTTTCTAGAATGACCAGGGAGAAGTGTAGGCAGGTCTTAACCAGTATGAGCCCTGGTCGTGGTTTGGAACATGTTTCTAGAATGACCAGGGAGAGGTGTAGGCAGGTCTTAACCAGTATGAGCCCTGGTCCTGGTTTGGAACATGTTTCTAGAATGACCAGGGAGAGGTGTAGGCAGGTCTTAACCAGTATGAGCCCTGGTCGTGGTTTGGAACATGTTTCTAGAATGACCAGGGAGAGGTGTAGGTAGGTCTTGACCACTAGGAGCTGGGGTCCTGGTTTGGAACATGTTTCTAGAATGACCAGGGAGAAGTGTAGGCAGGTCTTAACCAGTATGAGCCCTGGTCCTGGTTTGCAACATGTTTCTAGAATGACCAGGGAGAGGTGTAGGCAGGTCTTAACTAGTATTAGCCCTGGTCCTGGTACACCACCACATTTGGTTCAGCACCTCTGCATTCCTATAATTAAGTAGCCATGCAGTGATGTAGCCGCCAGACACTCACCTGCAGATCTGAAGATCGTGGGTTTATATCTAAATGCAGCCAGACTTTTTCTTTCAAAAATGACCTTGGCTCCCAGGTCTCACCTTAAATGGGTACCAAGTAAAGTACTCGGAAGTAAAGACCGCCAGCTAATAACCACATTACCCACATAGTGTCGATTGGTCTATAAAATATTGGTCTAGCACTCTATGCCCAATACATCTGGTGGCGTGGTAAAGAATCCTTTACACTAATATTTCGCTTTGAGAGAAAAACCAGTTTCAGTGAATCAGTGAGGACAGAATGCTGGTGTTGGATAGGACACACTGAGACAACCTGATAATAATATAAGTGGAATGTCCTTGCACTGGAGCCCACAGGACCAGGAGTAAAAACAGACCAAAAAACACGGAGAAGGAAACTAGCGGCTGAGGTGAATAAGAAGGGAAGACGTGGGATAAGTTATATGTGACTGCAAAGGAATGAAGACACTGAGGGATAATTAGTAGAAGAAGATGAAGCTGGATAGATAGACCACACACTGACAAAACCTGATATGTGTATAAGTAGAATTTTCTTACCCTGGACATTAACACACATATTTTTTTTTTTTTTTTTAAAAGATAGATAGAAGAACCGAAACAGCAGAAAGGAAATGTCTATGGTGAATCTTGAACGAAACATTAGTAATAATATAACAGGAAACTATTGGGGACAGAACCAGTGCTACGCTACATCAAGAGACAACAGATCAAATGGTTCAGACATGTGTCAAGACTACCACAAGACAATGTATCACAGGGAGCCCAGTTAACTAAAATACAGTAAAAGCAGAGTTTTCAACGCAAGTGATTGACTGATGATTCCACTAATATGGGCACCCATGCAGCACACACCAAGGCCTGCACCAGATGCCTCAAATCCTGATGCTGAAAGGCTGAAGAGAGATAAGAAATCAGAAAGAAAAGAAAAGAGTGAAGACCATTGCTAAAGATGGCATTTAAAGAAAAGTGTGATTCATAAAATGTTTGTAATTGTGATGGGCAATTTCAACTGAAGAAGAGGAATATCATGGAAATCGATGATTTAATTTTCCCTGATTGCCTGATGTTAACAATATGTCAAAAACATCAAATTATAAGCTTTCTTGACCGAGCAAGAATTCATTATTTTACATATTCCATTTGTATTTATCAGTCACAATTATAGAATTAAAATCAAGAATTGTTTTTTTCCTCCATGTTTTGCAGCGTCTTCCAAATGGATTGTAAATAAACTTGTTTCAGTTTTTTAACTCAGCCGATTAAATTTTTCATCAACTTTTTAACAGAACTGCATTGGCTGGTTCATCTAGTGACTGACAAACTTAGAAAACATAGACAGTACATGCACTCAGTAACAACAGATTCAGCTATCCTCCTAATAACGGTCCCAAATTATCGAGGCCGAAAATATACCCTAACAGGGCCTTAGTAACATGTAAATTGTGGACTTCCGGTGACTTAATTTGCGGACTTCCGGCGACTACCACCACCGCTAAGAGTATCTCCCAGTATCTCTCAGGGGGGCTAAACTAGATGGCTAGGACTCACGAGCAAAGCTGCAGGAGATGCAAAAGCTGCTGCTCGTGGGTCCTAGCCATCTAGTTTAGCCCCAATCCACGTCACGTGAGCGGCGTGGGAGCCTCGTGGCGGTGGCGGTAGTCACCAGAAAACCGCAAATTAAGTCACGTGACTGAAGCTCAAAAGGATATTTTGCGGTCGCCATCTTTTGTGCCCGAAGCTTGGTGGATATCCCAGATTCTTTATGTAACAGGTTTAGAAAACATAGACAGTACATGGACTCAGTAGCAACAGATTCTTTATGTGAATACATCACTTTATGTTAATAGTCTAGTAGTACTAGTAGTAGTAAATAATCAGTGTGATCACGCCCTTGTTGTAGAGATACCCTAGTTAGTATGATAGTATCACTAATTAAGAGTTATCTTTTTACATTACCTTTGTTATTAACAAAGTAACTTACAAGTAAATCATATAGTAAAGCAGGTGATAACCGAAGAAATGGTTGTACCAACTGTTGAAATATATTACAAATAGTCCAAATACTTAATATAAAACATCAGGATTCGATTAAAGTTCATTAAAGACTTCTATTGTAATTGTCACTGAAGTACTGAAGCCTTCAGTGAAGGGTTACAATTCAATGATTTAATCATTCTTGATTGCTTAACTGTAAAAAACGACAACTTACAAGCCTTCCTGAGCAAGCAAGTATTCATTATTTCACATATTTAATTGCATTTATCAGTCACAATTGCAAAATTAGAATGGGTTTTTTCCTAATTTTTTGCAGGTTCTCTCAAATGGATTGTAAATAAACTTATTTCGTTCAGTTTTTAGTTTTTTAACTCACCCAATTAAATTGTTCATCAACTTTTTAAGAGCATTGCATCGACTGGTTCACATTTTTAGCGTCCAGTAATCCTCCATAAATAATACAACGCATAAAAAGGCACTTATTGGCAGCAACAGTAATATTTATTTTTGCTTTTCCGGAATCCGCCACAACCTTTACCTAAATGCTCTGAACATGGCGACATGACGTCATCAAGTGTCATTTCTCAGATTCTAGAGATAGTTTCGAATTTGAATGTTGAGAAAAAAAAAAAGGTAAAGAAAACGAATAATAATTTTTATTGTTGTTGAGTTTTAAAACATGTTTGTTTATTTTAGTTAATCTAAGCTGTATTCTCTTCCTTTTTAAAAAGTGTTCCCTATAGGACTGTATACTGAAAATTAACAACTAATGACTCAAAAAGACACAGTTCGGGCGAGAATCTGACAGGAGCATGTCCCAGACACCGTGTTCAACCGTATTTCACAGTTCATTGGGGCTTTTGATGGTTACGAAGTAACATGTAGTCCAATTTCGTTGGTGGTTTGTGCTTGTGTGTTGGGTGAAGCTAAAGAGGTGTGGAACGCAGTGGCGTAGAAAAGGGCGTGCGGGTTGTTGCCGGGCGCCCGGGTGTCATCACTAGGGGAAAAAGGGAGTGGGTTGACAAATGGCAAAAACGTGTGATTTTAGCAATTTAAAATTTTAGAAATTGTCTGCACCGAGTACCACCTGTCTTTGATGCTATGCTGCTGTACTGGAAGGTTGACATAAGTAAAGTAAAATCCTTTCTCGAGCAAGCATAACAAGTTTCTTGAAGTCAACAGCGGAAAAAAATAAAAACCTATAGTTCAGTGTTTTCCAACATTTTTTGTATCATGCCCCTCCTAAGCCTTTCTATAATTCGTATGTCCCCTATGTAACATACACATAATATAAACTTTGAAAGAGTTCATTTGCGAATTGCCCCCCCCCCCCCACACTTTTTTACAATCAGAAAAAGACTAAAATACGAAGCCGTCTACAGGCAAGCCAATGGGCGAACCGGTCGCCATGCTACCAGAGTAAATCAAGGTCAACCCCACCAGGACCGCTATAAACACCCGGTGACACAAAGTGCCACCATTAATATGAGAATCACACAGGTGCAAGTCCCCAAAACCCCGTTCAGCCGTTAGTTTTAGGCCTATTAGGCCCCTGACAACAGCCGAAGTGGAGCTAAAAATTGCGTACCATATCATCATCAACATGTAGCAGGTCCTTTGCAGAACGCCGCTCCCATCACAGTCTGCCTGAAAGAAA